CTTATCAGTTACATACATGTCTGACTCATATAAAAAAGTGTAAATCTTGCAGTTAGTGATATCACCAACATATGAATTGTTGAAAAACTAAAAAATGTTTGGGATGGTGTGGGTATAACTGGCTAAAGTGCTATGAACAAAAAAAAAACTCTAAATGATTAATTTACCTTTACTGTCTGGTGTAGATTGACAGTTATGACCTTTTTCATGCAATCCTTGATCATCTAAAGAAAAAGAAAATGTTTATTGTTACATATTTGGTGACTAACTTGTGAAAGAATTATACCTCCATTTTATAATAGCAGCTTGTCATTTACAGAGTATGCTTGTCATAGGCATGATTCTTCAAGACTTTCTGAAGGGAACCAAATTATATCTGAAGACAGCCATGGATTTCCACAAACAAACCAAAACTTTCTGAAGACATCAAAAAGAAATCCATCCCTTGAACCACCTAGTTTAAATACCAGCAACTGTGCAATGATGCATACTTTCCTTTCTTACACAATCTAAATATATGCAAGACATGATTCCCATTAAATTTCTTTATTGAGACTGCAAATAACTAATAATGCTTGATGAGTTTTGAATGGAGAGTGAACAGGGATTTTTAACAGAATGAAGTTATGGAAATTATTTACTAAGGAGCTTAGAGCCTGTCAGTGACAAAAATCACTTTAAAAATAACCTAGTAAATAATTCACATAAAACAAACAAGCAAGAGGAAAAAATAAATTTATGGGTTGAAGTCATCCATTTAAGCACTCACCAGACAAGTACAGCACCTGAAGATCCTTTATACACATATCTGTGCAATTGTTTTCAGTATTTATGTAATTATACTATGAACAATAAATAATTCCATACAATTTCAAAAGCTGCCCTTAGAACTTGCCTGTGAAGTGAAAAAATTGGTTTCTCCTTTCCTTTCAACTGTAATTTTTCTATAGTCTTCCTGATAATAAATAAAAGTAATATTTTTACTGGTATTTCTAAGTGAGAAAGTGTCTTCAATGAATTTTGAACTATTTAGAGTGCCACGTAAGTTACCAAAGGGAAAGTAAATTAGATCATAACATGTAAACTAAAAACAGCATACTGTAGAAAGATGGAATCAAATAGCTGCTTTGATAACTCTGATCTATATTTCTTGTCAAAGGACCAACAAACTGTGAGAATCACTCTTCTTTATACCCTTTATATTTGGTAAGAGTTCCTAATTGAAAAAGTATTCTGGACAGCAAAAAGGAGACCAGAAACATTACAGCTTTTGAACTCAGTCACTGATTTATATTGATCTATAAAAGTGGGACAAAGATAGAATGTCAGTTAGTTAGAATTTGAATACTTTACTATTATCACAAGGGTTCAATGAAAGATAAAAGCTTACTTTAAGAAAGGTGATTTGAAACCCATTGAAATTCAGATCTCGATAGCTCTGTTATGTGTTTAACATTGTTTCAGCTTACCAGAAGAATAGGACATATTGCTTTAGTTGGGTGAGTCATGTAAATGGGACCATCATATCCAACCATCTCTGAGAAATATGGTAAAGCACCACAGTGGTCCAAGTGAAAGTGGCTGTTACGATAAAAACAACTACTGGTCATTATGAAGTCATTGCCAAAATGCTGCACAGTACAACACCAGCTTCTGTACCACCTCATGAATATAATCAGCACATGGATGCTGTTCTTCTTTTTTTTAAGGTCCTGTAACGCACACGCTGAGATGTTTTTAAACTCTTGCAACTCAGGAAGACAAAGCCCCAATGTACTACTTTGTTACACCCTTTCCACAGGTTCAAAAAGCTCTCACCCACTTATCCAAGACAAACCCTCGATCATTATCCTCATCTTCAAATGCAAGTTTTCTCCCCAGTTGCCTGACAGGCAGAAGACCAAGTGAAGTCTTTCACATTTTACTTGGGCAAAACTTTCCATGCCCTGAAATGTCAACCTTTATAATAACCTTAACACATTAATTCATCAGTAATTTTTGCAAGAGACTTTGGTTTTCTTTAAGCCTCATGGGCTATAGCAAAATTACTGACAGAGGTAAAGAATACCCACTCTACTAACCTGATAATCACACAATCCAAATGTTGTGTTAAGCGCCCAGCTCGAGTGATGTATGAGAAATCTGGGAATCTCCTCTGTGAAAAATTGCAATTTGTTGAAAGTAATAGATTCTATCATATCAAATTGAGTAATGACATAGAGTATTCAAATACGAACACCTTGAGAAGGTTTGGCAGGTCAAAGAAAGGAAACAACAATTGAATCAACTTTCCTTTACTCATTGAACATTACATTGAACTGAAAACCGCACACACACCTCATCATTATAACCCATGTGCATTCCACAGTCAAGCATGATATTCTTCCCACCAATAGTAACAAGGATACAGCTACGTCCAACATCTTCAAAATAAACAATAACATAGCTCAATTATCAAACAATATAGATGGTCTATGCACTAGTGTTTACCACAAACCTACAGACTCACATAGTTACTTACTGTATTCATCTTCACATCCATCACACATCTAGACTTCCATACCTTTTTCACAGTTCCTCACTTCAGGCTTTGTTGTTTTTGTGGTGACAACTCTGGTTTTTCCAAAAAAATCAGTGGCAATGAGCCAGTTTTTTGATAAATGTGGCTATCCTGTTTCTGTTGTTCAAGTAGGCTACCAATGTGCCTGCCAACAAATTGAGTGGCAGGCACAGAAAGAAAATACTGATTGCACTCCATTCACTATTATATCTCACCCTCGCAACCACACAGTTAAATCTATTATTCTTAAAAACTTTAAATTACTTCAAAATGATTTAGAGACTGGTACTATATTTTCACAACCTCCACTAAGTTCATTCAAACTTTACAAAAACATAGGCAACTTTCTGGTCAGAAGTTCATTTCAAACCAATGACCAACCTGGAATTTTCAGATGCGCTCACTCATGATGCAAAACTTATCCTTTCATTCACATTGTAGAGAAAATGTTGAGAACTAAGAGACCTATTAAGATCACTAATCACTTCACATGCACCTCCATCAGTGTCATTGATTGCATAACTTGCTCTTATTATAAGAAGTAATACATTGATGTAACAGGAAGACAACTAAGTGACCAATTCTGAGAACACCTTTGTGATATACAAAGAAATGACAAGGACACATCCAAACCAGTAGCTAGACACTTTAATCTCCCTAATCATTCTAAGCAGCATATAGCAGTTTGTGGCCTAATAACAACTAACAACACATGGCATTACATTAAATTCGTGAATATTGATTTATTTTTTATATCTAAAAATATTTAACATTGAACAAAAGAAAGAAAATGTCATAAAGTAAATTCACAAGTAGATATTTGGGATCATTTTTTAGGATAATAGCAATATATATTTCAGCACATGGGTTTTTTCATTATTAAGTAACTACAGTAACTCAAAAAAAACCTATGGTAAAGTGCTACATACCTTGCCCAGCTCCTGGATAGATGATTCCCACAAATTGCAATACCAATAGAAAAAACAGTTAGTTACAGTTAAAACACAGCTAGACAGTCTTCTAAAAAAGAAGGGAAGGATACTATATAAAATATGCCCGGTGCACAGCCCTTTATGACATCCCTGAACATACTAATCAAGTAGAGGCAATTGTTTATTTTTTGCCTTAGATCCCCACAAGGAAGACAGAGAAATGTAAGTAGAATTTTGGACAGCCACAAGCTTTTATCAAGGCACCTCAAAGGAACACAGTCATCTAATCAGGGGGACATGACACTTTTCTGTGCTGAGAAGTCTCAGCTTTAACACCATTCAAGGGATACTTTAACTACTGAAATGTGATTGACTCCCTAAAGTGTTGTTAAGATCAATAAGTGTATACTGATTACGTTGATGACAGCCTCAGTACCAGAAAATGGGTCTTGTCTAACCTGGTGCTAAGGCCATGCAACAATTTGAATGAGATGCCTACATTGAAACTCAGTCTAATACAACTTCAAATCAGGTCCACTGATAGTTTGTAAAGGTAGAGAGAATCTTCTCATTAGAGAGGAATTGTGTATGTCATAACAGTGTTCTAAATGAAACCAGTATACTCTATTTTAAGACTGCAGATAGCACAGACATTGATAAATAAAAATGTACTGAACTTTGCAGAATTTAAGGCAAAATAGCTCTGATGCATGATAATGTTATTTACTGAAATTCACCCCAAGCCTTGTTTGTACTAAAATATTCCATAGTATTTGTTGCTTTCTTGTTGTTTTCATGGTATTCTTTTGATTTAAGTGTTTAAGTAATACTCTCTGATTAAAATCCAACAGTCAGTGCCTTGAACATGAGGCTTAGGAGTAAATGTAAACATGCATTAAAGGCCTATTGCCATACAGCCCCATTCTCCATTATGCATACAATTCTTGGAAAAAAAGACAATGGCGAAAATAGTCTGAAATAATTGACTGCCTTTGGGATTACAGCTTTGTCTTACAAAAGTATAGGGTTAGAGAGAAATCTTACCAATCCTTCAAAACAAAGGATAGTAAAGGTTTATGTCGAACTTTTTTCTTTACATCATCTTACTTCTTGAAATAAAAACTTCTGTAGATTCCAAGCCAGAATGATATAAACATATTTTTATAGCCAGTTATTTTGTCACAAGTGTTAACCCAATTCAACCCCTATTCCAAGGCAAAGGAACACTTGCCCTGATCGCGTGGGGCCTTCTGAAAGGAGGTACCACTGAGCGAAAAATCTTCACACGAAAGAAATATCAAAAACCTCACTATACATACCTAACGGAACTACTTTAATCTCTGGCATTCTTTTAAATTAGGGTTCAAAACTCCATGGTGTCACATCTCATCGCGTGAGCTCAGCCGTCAGCTCAGTCGTCCAGCAATGTGGTCAGGGTTCTCCCCCTTGATATATGCGCAGTACAGGGGTAAGCTTGTTTTATAGAGATGAAACCGCAGATATTTAAAATGGCTTATACGCGTCGAAACGGCCTCAGCCGGCGGTATGAAAATAGCTCATGAATAATTTGCGTAGTAACGACAAAGAAGAGATTACCCTACTCAAAGGTCTATAACTTTAATTATTATGACTGAGAGAAAGTTTGAACTCGCCATCGTTCTTGATGCCTTCAAAAAAACACTTCAAGAAGACGGAAGCCTTGTCATGGACGAATACATACGAGGATATGGAGAACTTTGTATATTTTTCGATATGCTTGGGACTGTGTTTGGATTCATTACATCGGATGTGAGAGAAAAAATGGGCATTCTTCAAGATTATCGAAAGTCAAAACACGGAGAGAAGTATGTGTTCATTCAAGCAATGCTTGATTTTGAAATCGAAAATGATTTGACACGGAAAACAACGCACCCTCTGTCAGGATCAAGAACTCTTCTAAGATTGCACCGGGCTCTTGCTTTCACTATGCTCTTCATGAGTAAATTAAGCCAATCAACAGACGACGATTCCTCTTATTACATGGCTAAAGATGCTTACAATGAATCTTTGGCTAACTTCCATCCGTGGATAATTCGAAAGGCGGCATTATGGGCTATGTACACATTGCCGAAAGTCGGAGATTTCATCAAGAAAATTGCACAACCAAACATGGATAAGGGCAAAACCAAGCAGTTATTGAAAGAAGTTTCAGATGCAATGAAACAAGTTTACGATTTTACAGAGGAACTTTACACCAAGCATAATCTGCATGACCTTCCTTAATGGAGAGCAACCAGATTAAAATGTTGCTATAATGGGATTTTTGATATTACTTGTGGTTATTCTCCCTAAAAGTAGCATGTATCTAGTAAATATTTTATGAAAAAACTAATTATCATTTTTTTGGCTCAGATTGCATGTTTTGAAAGAAATTGATTAGTGAATGTTTATCACCTAAAGTATCCAAATGCTCCATGGTACTGTTTACATGCTGAAGGCATCCATATAGAATTTAAGAACCACAAGTTAGAACAGATTAGAACACTAGAAAAAGCCACTGAGACTTGAATGAGAATACATCTAGCCACCTTTAAGCTTTCCTTTTGCTATTGGCTGTTTTTCAGGACTTATTGGCAAGAAAAGGTGTTCATCAATATTCACAAAGGATTTTGTTTGCATCAAACAAAGTCAAGTGTTCAATTTATTATTTTCAAAATAGAATTCTCCCGTTATCTCCTTGCCAAAATTAATGCATTGTGTTTTCTCCCCCATAAAAGGTCAATTAAAAATATTTGCCTTCAAATTGGATGCCTAAGTTTTGTTTTCTTGTAAGGCCCTTCTTCTTTGCATTTTGTTCTGCACTTGCCACCAACACTCAATGAAAGTTTATAATTATGTTTTTTATGTGCGTAACAGGACAAGTTTTATTTGACAAACTGTTCTGTGATTGTTCAGGTTCAAGAAGTCCATCAGTGTCTGTGGTGGTACTCCTCACTCTTGTCTTTGCTTTAGCTGTCTTTATTCTTGTTTAGTGCCCCGAAGACCCTAAAGCTTGGCAGGCCAGCAACAAGCATGTATTACTGTGACTGCTTTGATTGCACTAATTGGTTTAGATATGGATCTGTTTGGTTAAGGAGATTATATTACTTTCCAAAGCTACTCCCACAGCTTATTAGTTGATAAAATCTAAATAAATCTTGAATTGTACTCAACATTCTAACAAAAACTGCTGTGTAATAAGGGTATATTTGAAATATAAGATACTAATTATAATAATATTTTTTTTAGAGCTTTCTGTTCAAATTAGAATTATCAATATGACAAGTTCCCCTCTTTATGTAGAATTTATAGCCATAAAGTCATTGTGCTGGGCTTTTCATTTTCAAGTTTTGTGCACCCCATACATACTAGATAACTGTGAAGACAAATTTATCTTATTTCTTCTTAGTACAGTGATAAAACTCTAAAACTAACTCCTTGCCAGCGAAAGATGAGGAGCATTGGCTAAACCCATTTTATATGTCTTGAGTGGAAAAGTGGTTTGTATATATAATTTCCTGTTCTAAATTTGGAAGAATTTTTTAAAGGATTTAGTTACATAGTACTGGTAACTTCAGGAGTAATTCATTACTTTGAGAGGAGAATTACACTTCCTCATGAATTTGTTTTGGAAAAGGGCCTTAAGGATTTCTCGATTTCTCCTTGGATTTTCTTTTAATAGTCTGGTTTTCCTCCTAGTTTTTTTGTATTTTATAGTTGGCTTTCAATTGAGCTTTCAAGAAAGTGTCGCTGGGAGTATTTAGTAATTCTAACAAAGAAATAGAAGTATGAAATTTTTTAACCTTACTATTTTTCCTATCTGCATTCTACTAAAAAATAAGTGCCATGTGACTTCCATTCTGAAAGTTGTCAGAAGAGAAATTGAAATGTTTTTGTCCCACTCAATTCTAGCCTTCTAAATTTATTGAGACCGCTTCACCTCAGTGTCATCCCAACTGAAAGTTGCTAAAATGAATTTAAATAATCAAAAACAAAGAAATATTTCAAACAAATACAATTATTTATCAATTTTGGACAGAAAACCAAATTATAATTTAATAGCAATCCAACATAGTACTTGAGACAAAATATTCAGATTGATTTCTCTCAGAAAGATTTTAAAGACCTAGCTGAAACCAAGTTTTTGTCAAGCATCTGTTGAGATGAGATATCTCCAAATGTTAAAAACTAGTACCTTGACCATGACTCTAAGAGTTCAACTGTGAGATGATATTCTCAAGTTTCAACCACCATCACATACCTACTGTGACAATGTATTACTACAGCCTGATCACAAAACCATTGCTATGCTGTACAATAATTACATATTCAGATAACTGTCACATTCAAGTACATTTAAGAAGCATTTTATTTCCACCCACTCAATAGCATATTACAGACACTAATTTGTAACAAATAAAGCTACCTGGTAGCAATATAAAGGCAAAAAGTACAGTGCTCACTGGTTCAGTGTAACAATAATTATTTATTACTTTAAATTGTGTATAGAAATAACTTTCAAAGATATGGCAAATATTTTTCAACTTCCTAGAAAACAGACAGATTCATCATTCCTCTTAACACCTGAGTGAGCCTTGGATTATGCAGCTCATGTACTAATGTAAATATTGAAATTATGTATTTTTTACAATATTGATGTAACTATAATCATAGCATTTCATGCCAGCATCCACAAGACATCGCAAGACCTTTAAAATGGCAAAGAATAAAAGGAAACAGATTTCCTTTCATTCGTCTAAATATATCTCACACTTACAAATACAATCTTTTTATTTTCACAGAGCACATACAAAGTATGCAGTTTATTGCAAATCTTGCAAAGAAAACCATCCAATCCCTCTGGGCCTTTACCAAATTTGATGTGGCAGAGTGATTGTACAATTTACTTCACAACATTTGCATGGATAAAATCGATACGATTTATAAATCATTGGGCTGACTACCACATAATCTGCTTGATACAAGCTACAAAAAGTGTCACCGCAATAACAATAACTGCAATAACAGTAACACAACTTAACGTTACATAACGTTTTGGGTCTCAACATAAACTGTAAGAATTTAACTATAAAGTACACTAAAGTCAAGATATCCAGCAAGAAAGCTATCTTCAACTGAAGGAGCAACATGTGGTGTATCATTGACTTCAGGTACAGCTTCTCCACACACAGCATCATCCACAATGTCTTCGCATTTAATGGCCATTGGATCATAGCCAAGAATTTTGGGGATATCACACAAGAACCTGTAAACATATCTTTTTCCATGAACCTTCTCAATCACTGAATTGCCATAGTAGTAACGGATACCACGGCTCAGCTTCTCATAGTTCATGGTTGGTTTATTTTTCTTTTTCCCCCACATCCTAGCCACTGTTGAGGGCTGAAGGATCTTGAACTCGTAGTCCTCATCCTGAGTCCACTTGATCAGTTTTGAACATTTAGGATCAGTGACTAACTCCAGTAGGAACTGCCACAGTTGAATTGGTCCATCACCTAAAAGATGGAAAAACACAAGTTCCTACCTTAAAATTGGACAAATTGTGTGATTGCACAAGAAGGAAATAGAGATGAAAAAGAACTAAAAAGGTGTCAAACTTGCAATACTTATTGCACATACCTCGATATTTGACCAGTGGTCTTGGCCCACGCTTTCGTCTCCTCACTGGCTTCGGCACAACAGCTGACACAGTTGATTCTGTTAAAAATTAGAGTTAACAGAGTAAAAATCAAGATATCAATTCACAATACTAAAGATACTCAAAATGAGAATAAAATGATGATACCTTGTTTAATATTGCATGTGACAGCTTCACCATTTACTGATAAGGGTGACTCTGCAGATTGACTCACTCTATCCAGAAAAAAATCTAAAACAAAGTTTACATGCAGAAGAAACAATTCAAATGGTTATCATAACACAAAATATTCTAGAATTCACACCTATGAGTAATACCCTTTAAGAAAACAGGTTTGAATAAAGCAGTCAAGTCACTGGGCTGTTCTTATATGTCCAATAGTGTCTGTATGTTTTGGTGAGGTTTCTTTTCACTAACCATCAATGTTTTCAAGGTCACTTTGAATCCCTTCATCAGCACTGGTGTTTGAACCAGATTCACTGGTAGGTGGGCTGTAGGGAGGGCTGCTGCTAGCAGGTGAATTGTACACTGAATCACCACAAACTTGGAACTTAGCCTCCTCTTTCGAGACGAATGGGACAAAACTGGGTGTATATGGCACAGTGGGTACTTCATCTAGCAGCCCATCAAAGACTGCTGGGTCTGGTAGGTGATCAATATCTGAAAAATGAAAGGAATGTTAAATAAACATGTAATATGATTAGACTTGTGCGAACTTGATATTCCTTTGAACCAGAACTGATCCACATACCTTCTCCATTCAATGTGTACTGATTTTTAATCAACTGAGTGATGAGAATATAAGAATCAAAACATGAGGAAATTTAGTTTTGAATGGTTAAATATCACAAGTTCATGGCTGAAATTAATAAATTGTGGGAGGTGTAAATAAGATGTGGGGAGAAAAAGATTAAGCAGCAACCGCTTAAAAAATAATCACCTCCTCTTTTAATTTTAGACATGATGCAACACTTCATGATAATGATAGAAAACCAATATGCATCTGTCTTTCCTTTATTCCTTTTATGTCTGAATCATGCTATCAGTTTTTAAGAATGAGAATTTAATAATCGGTCATACTAAAAAGTAAAAAACATAAAATTCAAAAAACAAAGTCAAAATTTTAATAATAAGGCTGACGATTTTGAAAAACGAAAACAGGAAGTCTTAACGAATTGGACCAGGTGTCAATGAAGGGAGACTCGAAACCAATTAGAATAAGGTCGCCTTGGAAACAAGGAATGACGTTTTCAAAACGGAAAACACAACAATTGCAAACTGAGTAAAAATTAGGTCATAATACCTTTATATCTCTCTGGTTCGGGATTGAAAACAGAGTGGTCTGAAAAGCCACTGGCCGAAATCCCATTGAAAAGAGCATCCACTTCGTCGCCTTGAAGGGCATACAGATCATCCAAGAAGGACTTTTCTTGAGGAAACTCAACTGCAAATTAAAACACAAACAAACTCGAATATTTTCAAGTTATAGACTTTTTCCTCTTTCGATTTTTAAATTAGAACGCAGTAGGCATTCTGAAAACGAACGTTTTAGGTTGATTCAGGACATAAATATAGCGACTTCAAACCTAGTTGCCTCATGGTGTGAATTTTCTGATTTCGACTGATGTGAGGAGCACATATCAAGCGCTCAAATCCAGGTACCGGAGTTGCTTCGGGCACGAGTGGTTGGTTTGCATGAAGAAGATCCTGTGCAAACCGATCCATTTTACAGGTGGTTAGATAGTTGAACCACTAAAAGAAAAAGGAAAATAAAATTCAGACATCGCATTACCAACAGAGAAAACAAAATCGAACCATCTGCTGCGCGAGGGGGATTTCAAAGGAAACAGGAAGTTCTAACCACCTCGCGATAGTGACAAAAATAGCTATTTCTGTCTTTTCACCATATTGCACCAAGAATACCTTTGACGAAATATATATTCTGAATTTTTGTGTGAAACGTTCGAATCGAGGATGATGTCTTTTTTAACGACTTAATTTTTTGGGGCTGAGGAGAGCTTCACCTCGCCGAGCTGAAAGGAAGTTTGAATATATAATTAAGTTGGAAAACAGTCCGTAAACTCACCTCCATTTTATTCAGTAAAGCGCCATCAGAATTGAGAGTTTTAGCCATTTTCAAGACTGTAAAAGAGAAAAAGAGAAAATAAAATCATATATGCAATAACAAGAAAACAAATGCGTCCAGCGCCCTTTGGTATGCTACTTCTCGTCAAAGAGGAAGTCGAAATTTTAATACTGAAAAATAAGAGTAAAAAATATTCAGTTAGGTGTTTTTGAGAAACTCAGCTTACCTTCTCGATTTTAACAAATGAAATACAACTTTCTTCGGTAAAGTTTTAACTGTGTATTGCCAGAAAACCGTACTTTTATGGAGAGATCTCTCGTGTCGACGGCGTACCCCACTTACACAAATAAGAAACTGTTGCACTCTGGCTCCTACCGGTCATATGTATTCTTTGAAAATAAGCTGAAATTTGATTGGCTGTTTGAACTTCTACTCAGTCTTTCCGCGGTCATTACTCACCCAAAAATTGAGAAGCAGCCTGGATTTAAGTAATTGAAGAGTGCGCGTACGTGTTGCCCCCTGAAGCCAGAGTACAGACTTTAATCAATGGAGAGTAATTTTTTTGCTTTTATTTGTGAAGCTATTTTCTGTGAAGGAAATTTTGTCAGTTGTACTCCGTGACCGGTAGTGACCAAAATAGCAGGTTCATTAGCAAACCTTCCTCTGAATGCAAGGCCAAAGAAGAGATCTGCCTCTAGAGGAGATATCCTCTTCAATAATGTTCCCTTTATGACATGAGTACTTTAATGAAAATAAATGTACATGACGCAGTTGGGGTGCTTACCGTTATTATTTTTTTAATCCTTCGGTTTTCTGTTTGTCTCATCATCGCTTAAACGCATACTGAAACAAAATAGTGCAGTCCCCCACGTATGCTGAAACATTTGTCGAAATAGTTCTGAGATTTTTTCTTGAAGGTGATTCATCAGAAAAAATAGGCATGGAACAATTTTTCTTAAACTTTCCTTAAATGTTCCTTACCAATATCTGTTTCGAAAAATACAATTTAAAAGATAGGTCACGGTGCTTGTTTAGGAAATATAATGAGACAAACTTACCCCACTCATACCTGTTCTGGCACCAATCACGCGCGTCATTTCATCAGTTCACGGTACATTTTGAGGTTGCTGGAAGCAAGGGTGTTTAAAGTAACATAAAAAAACAAAATTGATCGGTAAAAAGAACCGAGCGTATGGAAAAATTTGTTATACAATTTGTGAAAATATCACGCACTTTTAAACTACATCTACTCAAAACGTTCTTCGAGTGGTTGCTTTTAAGGTCATAATTTGCATCAAGGGGGACTGCACCACAGTTTACTGTGGTGCTGTGTCGGTGGGAGAGTATAAAATGACAGGGTAAAGTTGTGTTATCAACTGAGTTAAAAAAGTAAATTGGCTATCCTAAAGAGTTTAAAGGCTGACGTTTCGAGCGTAATCCCTTCGTCAGAGCGATTGGAGGAATTGTGGGTTATGCGGGGGTTTACTTTTCCCATCAATAGCGTTGATCCATTTTCTGCATATAAACCCACAAGCAACTCACAACACCTCCAATCGTTCTGACGAAGGGCTAACGTTCGAAACGTCAGCCTTTTAACTCTTTACGATGGCCAATTTATGTTTTCAAGTCAGTTGGTAACACTGAACAATACCTTATTATATTTATTACCCCCCATAAATCTTCAATGGTGGTTGAAAACTTCTTTGAAGTTGCACAAAAATGTAACCTGATTTTTTCGCCTATGATGGTTTTAATTTGGTGAATGAATAAATTGCAATATTCCTTTTGCTAGTTCTTAGACAAAAGTGAACGTGTTCTCTCTTAAAAATTCAGAATAATTTTGAAAGAAGCTTTTAGTGAATCCAATGCTGACAAAATATGTAATAACAATAACAAGAGACTAAAATGGTATTGCAAAAAGATAAGCTTTAAAGGTAACTTATTCTTAAAAACTGATAGCTCAATTTGGATGACTTTTCTTCTCATGTTCTGCAGAGGACATGGATGGAATAGTGGGAAAACAAATTTATTTTGGTTTTATTGTAACTCATAATTTTTTAATTATTTAATGCAGAGAATCAATGAGACTTCTTTCTAACTAACTAGGTAATTGGATTATTTTTACCAGTAGGTTTTCTTGAGCCAGAATCTACGCTTATGGCAAGTTATGAATGTCAAATAGCAATCCACAGCTGAACTGACCACATCGTGAGACAAACAAGTATATTTTTCTTTTGAGGTAGTGAATTGCAACCAAAAGAATCAAAGGAAGAGGTTAAAAACCCAGAAAATTTCATTCGCAACAAACAATTCTTCAATTGAAAGCGTCATCCTAATTTCCTATACTGGTTACAAATTTAAACATTTATTAGTAAAGAATTTCAAGGAAAACAGTGTCAATTTAGTACCTAAAGAAACACTCAGTCTGATCCTATGAAATGTAACTATGGAAAAAGATCAGATTCAATTGTATCACCAATTACTGATAAATACATTTATGGTATTTTTGGTTGAGAGCATGTAGTCAATATACAATGTCAAGTTGATATTTGAACTCAATATCTGCAGCAAACATTGGGTTATCATGTCAAGTCCAAGCCTTCCCCTTTGCCAGATAACTCAGACCTCTGCATTGATAATTCATGATATCATGCTCATCCCCATCAAATAATGATTTATTATCTAGGGTGAGGTTTAATATGATAAAAATACAAAGTCAACTTTTGATGCAATATAACATTTAATTTGTGTTCAAAATGACTTTTTCTTAAATACTATGAAAACCCAGATATCAACAGATTCTTTCTTAGGCTTGGTTGGACCATGGTATCAAGGAATGATAAGAGGTGTGAGTTGTTCAAGACCATGAATTCAAAGCAAAATTTTCCATTCCTTTATGCTTTTTTTTTTTACATTTTTTATTGTTGGGTGTAGGTTTATTTTTGTTCTTCTTTTCTAAAACTGGTTTGTTCAGGCAGTGTTAAAAAAACACTTTATGAGGTTGGCCTAATTTACAACTTACAACCAAAGTTAAAAACTTTTTGAAGACTACTCTGTCCACTGATTGATTGAGGCAATTACATGACTATTGAAGAAATGCTATCAGTGGAGTTGCCAGGAACATACCCAATAAATCCATTTGCTGGGTTGCAGAATACCTGACCTAATCAATACAAACTTTCAATGCTACTTCCATAACCCTTGCATGCTTACACAAACATTGACTACAGGTCTACAGACTACAATGGGTGCCCCCAAAATTAACATGACTGAGGATCATGGACTGCAGTAACATCAGATTTATAAAGACTAATGGGTTGGTCTTGATCAACGAAAAAATAATAAATTCCAAAGAAAAAGGAATGCCTTAATATAAAACTCAGCAAAATTCTCTCACTCACTCCAATCAAACACTTGACATGTCCATTTTTCTAGCCCTACAAGTAGTAAAAGTGGCCTCCTTACTTCAAGCACAACAGTTAAAATAAATTTTTCACCTGGTAGAACAATTCTTTTGCCTGTTGAATTCCAATTAAGTGATTTAAGGGAGGGGTGATAAGAGGTACCACAGAGGGGAAATTTTACCAACTACCACCTAAAAAAAAAAGCACACTATTATGGTCCTCTAATTGAACAGAGAATTAAAAACAATTCATTGCTGGGGAGTCACAAGCATTCATTCACACAAAACAACAAAAAAACTTCAATCTGAAAAAATAGAACTCCCCCAAAGATTATAATGCTACACAGACTACACAGTCACCATCCAATCCATTTACCAATGTGCTAACCTTTAGCTGGGTAGACTTAGAGGGGCAACTGAACAACTTAAAGTGTACAGTAACCCAAAAATTAAGTTCAATTTAGCAGTTTGTTGAGGAAGCAGAATAAGTTTTCCTTCCCGAAAGCTTCTTTCCAATTTGAAAGCCATTCTCAACGTGATAAGGGGTAAAAGGAAACGTACAGATAAGTTGACTGAGAGCACAGTACATATCATGTATGGAGCAAGCAGGAGGAGGCAATAGAGTACATATGAGAGCTGCTGGCCAAGAATGATAGCCAACGTTACTGCACCGGCTTTTTTGTCAGTCTCCATATCTCGCGTGTTGTTGCTGTGAAGAATAGCTTCCGTGCTCAAAGCCACAGGAATGGCAAAGACCAGCGGAAACAACGCCACATTACCACATTGAGTCAGGTAAGAAAAAAGGACGGCCAAAGGACCAAACGTGATAACAATAACAATATCACCGACACCGTAATATTTTAGCCCAACACCACCAGTGTATAAAAACGAGCCAGATAGTCCTCCGAAGAACAAGAACGACAAATGTTCCATTTTCGCTGATGATAATCCAACCAAGGACACAAGGGCAAGGGTGGCGAGGCCATAGGAAAGAACGCCCAGATTGACAACCTCTTTAGGCGTTAAAAGGTGGTCAACTAGAGTACGATCGTCTGATACTTTGCTATCAATTCCTTTCATGTAGTCGTAATACGTGTTTACCAGATTGCCGGCCGCGTGGACTCCAAGAACAGCTATCATTGTCAATACGAGCAACGAGACACTGAAAAGACCAGTCGCCCTCCAACACAAAACGGCCCCTAAAACCACCGGAATAAATGACGCTGAGAAGGACCATGGCCGCAAAGCTAACAAGTAGACAGATAATTTAAAGGCTCTCGTCGACTTTTTCTGTTCTTGTGTACCATTCATAACAATTCAAGTACTTAGAGTCAATAGACTGCGCGTACAACGATTCTACTTGAGATTCTTCATGTACGGAGCACATTTAGTCCCCTGAGCCGCGAACTTTTGGCCAGGCCTCCTCGCACCTCATTGATATTGGTAACAGTAGGACGTGAACTCTTCTATTTTCAATTCTGTTCCTTCACTTTCGTCGGGTTAAAATCTTAGCACTGGAGAAGAGGTGGATTTTGAGGGACGAGTCTTAAGTCCTCACAATTTTTTTTATCTTGGCCCTTTAACTCCCATAAGTGACCAAGACATAATTTCTCCTTACGATATCAAGACAATATCAAGCGGGCAAATTGATGAGAATAAAGAAAAATATAAGCTAGAGGATTATTAGCTGATCCAATACCAAATTCTCAAAACTAACATCACAAGAACTGTATGGCAGACAGTAAGGAGAGTTGCTAAAGAGATATTGGGAGTTAAAGGGTTAAGGGCCCTGAGGATACTCAATTTTCCCGCCCACTTTACAACAATAATTGTTCTTTTTTTTTTTGACCAGACATACCCTTTTCCCACTTAATTGATCATAAACGACTACGATTCTATCAGTTTCGTGACTTTTCTAAGGGTCTTTCCAATCTGATCCTAGTATTTCAACAGCGACAATGGTTTTAAAAACATAAAAACATAGCTAAGCATTTGACAACAGGTGTTAGGGATGAAACTGACGATTTCCTCGAGGCTTGTAAAATATACGGGCGCTGAATTGCATCTACAGAACAAGCTATGTACAGGGGAGCTTAAAAAGTCAGAGAGAAAAGTAAAAATGCTCTTTTTTGGCATTTTCATCGAGTTTCTATGGTTTGTTCTGGCATTTTCATAAAACCAAAATGATTATTTTGCATTGCCTCAACTCAAATGGGTTAAATCAACCAACTAAATTTTTCCAAAGTGTAGTTGTCGTGATATGAATAAGTAAAAAACAAAAAAAAGCAAAAAAAAAAACACTGGATTTGGTGACAACGGTAAACAATTCTTTTTCTTTAAACTTAAATTCATATTCAACATGAAGTTGACTTGGGGTAAAAAACTGGTCAATTAATGCCGCTTTTGTTTTTTAACAGGGGTGTTTTATTCAGGAATCAGTAAAGCTTGCAATGTACAAGCTCCTAAATGCTTCGCAAAGAAACGAAGCCAATCCACAATAATTAAAGCAGCCTGCAATGAAGCGGAACTACAATCCTTAGCGACAGCAAGTCATTATTTGACAAAATAATGACGAACGGCTAATGCTCGAAACGTCATCTTTAAAACTCTTTACGATGGCCAATTTACGTTATTGACTCATTTGATAATACTTAATTACCATGTAATTAAGTATTATCCACCGACGCTGCACCACTGTTTCTTAAGAAACTTACCCTTTTTATACTGTTCGTTCACCCCACCACGGGTCTCTTGCGCATGCGTTCTACACAAAAATGATAACCAGAGAATCGCTCCGGTAAGGTTGATTTGTAACTATTAGGTGGTTTGTTTGTTTGTTAGTTTTTAATTAGAGAATCGTTCAAGTTTTTAATTTACTCCAGTTGACAGAAAAAAAAAACTGAAAAATTGCTACTCGTAATGACCACGATGCCAAAGAAATTTGCTCTGATGAAGGGCTAGCGCTCTATTTATATGTGAGCTTTAAAAACTCTTTAACTCTTTAAATTATCATAGAATTGGGAAGGTTGTTTCCTAAAGTAGAAAAATTTAATAGTTTCATTAATGAAGGAGAAATTATAAGGTTTAACTTCAAATAACTGAAACAGATTTGAATATATTTTTGGTATTTATTTAAGTCAAAAGACTAACGCGGCATGATTTGCCGTGAATTTCAGTTCCAAGTTCAAAACCACTGGCCAGGCTGGAAAATCTCTCGTCCCTTTCTACCATCAGTTCTCCCGAAGCCTAACTTCTATCTACAGAAATTTCAACAAGAATTTCAACAAATCTTTTGTATTTTGCGCACAGTCTCGGTCACTGTAAACCGTGTTTATTAGGGGAAGGAACGTCTTTCTCTTTTATAACCTCTTCTGGAGGACAACGAAGAATTAAAGTCTTTAAACGGACAGTGATCACAGCTGGTTTTACCAGAGCTGAAATTTTTCATTTTATCACCTGAATAACACACTGATCCGCAGCCGTGGAAGGGATACATGAGTTTCAACAAAGGCCGTTTAAAACCGACGTTCATGAGGCCTTAAAGGCCTCCTACCTGCTTAGATTTCAGTGGTAACATTTGAGAAGCCCTTTTCGTGGTCATACCGAATGTTCCACAATGGGCTGCCAATCATAGAAAACCCTCCATAGATAGATGCCCTTACTTTGGAAAACAGAGTAAGTCATCATATTAACCTCATTGTGGTATCCCGCCAGCTGAGAGTGGGCCAATGACTGAACGTGATGTCTCCCTAGTCGTACGTGACACTTCCTGTATTCCAGAATGTGTTTAGACGATTGTCTCTACTTGCGACAAAGAAGTCTCCTTTTCGTGGCTCTTTTGATCGTTTTCGTCCTTAACTGGGTTGGCATTTGCCAATCCATTTTGATGATCCTTGTTTGCGTTGGAATCTAAAGCATTATACAGCGTGTCAGGATAATTCACCGTTGCAAATTTTCGTTTTCTTTTTATTTGTACTGTATCATTGCCTCTATTTGTCCGACATATCTTTGCAGTACAATTTAATGAGATTTTTTTCTTTACATGTTTTTCTTTCTTTACTGGCTCATTTTCCTGTTCTATTTCGTCGTCTTCATCCTCATCATCCATGTTTGAATGCCTTCCATCATTCTCTTTCGAGTAGTAATAAGCGAAGTTCGAGACTATGACTGGCACTGGTAAAGCAATGGCTAACACACCTGTGATGGCACAGAAACAGCCAACTAACTTTCCACCTGCAGGATAACGTGAATAATAGTCGGAGTCAATCGCTAGTTCCCAGACAAACGGCCCTACACTCAGTAAGATGCCTTAAAAGGCTAATAATCTTAGGAGTTTTAATTGTACCCACTTTATTTTTCCTATAACTTGTTTTAAAATAAGAACTATGAAAACCCGATAAGATAGCTCTTTCTTAAAAAACAAATATAAAAGAAGTCTTTATCCAACACGGGAACACAGGCCTGGTTGACTAGTAGGTGTACGCTGAATCAAGGCGCGCGCTCTTTCACCAGTGCTTCTACCTCAGTGTGCGTTTTTGGACGTTTTACATCATTGCGATATTTGTTTGTTATGATGAGGGGAGGATAAAAGATTTGGATTTTCTTGCGGTATGACTGAGTTGCGGTTTATCAGACCCTCGATAGGCGACATGAAATTCAAGGTGAACATCCCAAAGGATGCTGCCTTAAGTCACAAATTGCGAGTAGTATGCTGGCGAGAACATTTAAAATACCTTATTTGTTTTTGTCTTAAAACGTACTTAACTAATGAAGTGCCCTGTTTGTAGAATGCGTCAGAATCGCTGATTTTTTTACGCCTCATTCTGATTGCATTCTTTACCTAAAGCAAACACTCACTTTTGATAGATCACTCAGATGTAAGATTTTCATAGGATCCTTAATTAAGTGAAAGTCACTTATCAGGCTTATCGCTGTATCAGATACACGGCTTTCTGCAAGACTACTGACGAGCACTGTTTCCATTTGCAGGGGTTCTTTTCTTAAGAATGTCATATCCCACAGTTACATATTCAAAATAGATGACATGGAAATTAAATAATGCATTGTTTCAAAAAATCCTGTAGCGCCAGGTTTCGAGTGAAAATCATCGACGCGTGAATTTTTCTAAGAAAAATTGTCTCCTACCAAAGGCAGGAATTTTTGACTTGCAATTTTAGGCTTCGGTAATTCTTACAACTGTTCTGTATTTACACGATTGCCTTTTGATGATCTACAAATGAAGGTCAGTTTGATTTCTACCCACAGATGTAAACAATGGATTAAAACAAAGTGTCATCTAGAGATACCGTGATTTCTATTCAATTCTCGTAAGTGTGTTATTTCTTGATTCGTGACCAAAACTTACTTATAGTAATCAGTTTCGAGAGCCACGAAATATTCAATAATGAGAAAATAACAAACTTTAAGAGCAAATATTTAAAACCAAAGTCATATAGGATACATACCAAGAGTCTTGGGTGTTATGTCTCCATAGCCCACAGTAGTCATGGTTATAATCGCCCACCAAAATGAATGAGGAATACTCAGGAAATCATTTCCATCCTCATTGCTGATTTCTGCATAATAGACAGCACTGGAGAACAGAACAACTCCCATACAGAGGAAGAAAAACAGAAGGCCTAACTCTCTCAAGCTCGCCCTCAGAGTGTGACCAAGAATTTGAAGTCCACGCGAGTAACGCGACAGTTTGAAAATACGAAAGACTCGCACGAGACGGACGGAGCGAAGAACTGCGAGTGACGAAACATTACCTGAATCCTCCATAGGCAGAGTTATATAGAACGGTATAATGGAAACCAAGTCAATCATATTTAGCACTGAAATGAAGAATTTCCACTTGTTTGGGCTAAAAATGAAACGAATTACATACTCTAATGTAAACCAGGTGATGCAAAATGCTTCAATGAGGAAGAATGGGTTATCTGTTTTCTTTTTCGATGCAAACGAAGTGACTGTTCCATTAACTGTTTTAGCTGGCTCCTCCTGAAACTGCGGCAAAGTCTCAACGCAAAAAAGAGCTATTGATAAGATAATTATACAAACGGACCAAATGGCGATTCCTCGCGCAAAATTCGAAGTGTCTGGATGTTCAAATAACTCCCATACTTTTCTCTGTATTTTGTTCTTTGGTAAAGGTCGTTTATTTTGTTCGACAGGCTGTTCCAATCCTTCACCAGCTTGAACCAAAGCCTTTGGTCCGAGATCAAAGAAGCGAACATCGCTTATAAATACCTTCCGTGGAATACTTTGCGGCCTTATAAGAATTCCGTTTGTTTGGTAGTAAGCTAGTATCGACTCGAAGCAAATGCGGTTACGGTCGAAAAAAAATTCATTGTTAACCGGATCATAGAAGTCCTTTCTTCTTTCTTTATCTCCAAGAAGTGACTCAGGAAATAATTCAAGCGTCTTTTCATAGGTCTCGTATCGCTGCCCAGAAATATTTATAACAATCCTTGGCCCTCTGTTTACAGCGTTCCAATCGATCTTCCTATGACAAGACTTGTCATCTCTGTTCATGACTGCTGCCACTTCTGCTTCATTTTCGTTGGAATTCTTGCCCATAAAGCGAAGTCTTTCCATGTCCAACTCGTCCCTGGTGCTCTAATTATGCGTTTGTAATGCTCTCATTCCTTTACAAGCTAAAAGTCATTTGAAATTCATGAGCTCATTTCGTAATAAACATGTGTTTGATTCCACTGAACGTTTTTTCCAGATCGCTGAAACCGCTCCGTCAGAGTTCTACAGGGAAAAGCAAGTTATCTTACTCTTTCAGTTACAAAACAACTTGGTTTTTCACTGGTTCAAATCAGTTCTATGCTAAGAAAATCGATGTCCTTTTCAGCAACTTGCGGTTCACCTCTAAGACTTCACCCATTCTGTGCAAATAATTAATGGCTAATTATGTCAGAGTAATTGATAACAAAGTTCATCTATGAATATTTGAATATCTCCGTGTTCTCATGGTTGACGGTTCGAAGGCATACTCTGAAATTTCTCTCTGGCTATTGGTTTCTTGCGCAAATGCTGTGACACTTATTTGCTAGAATGTTTACTACGAAGAAAATTTAACCACATTTGTGTTCTGTAACCACCAGATTACTCACTAGACAAATTAAGTTAACAAGCTTAAAAACAGCTGCAAAAACAAATATGTTTCCTATTAAGGATAATTTCGATAGAAAATGTTTGTCGCTCTCTTGAAAAAAGGAGCAGAACACTCGGCAAAGCTTGTTAGTGATTTGGTGCCTCAAAGATAATAAGACTCATTCTTATACTGCTGAGAGGATACAGGTCAGCGTCTTATATTGTGTAAACAACTGTCAACAGTTATCTTAAATTTTATGCAATAAATGTTCCTATGAAAGGAAATAGATTAAATTTTCCAACTTTTGTCAAAGCTTTACTCAGCCTTCAACATTTACCGAAAACCTCGATCTTGCTTTTAAATTTTGTTTCTGACAGAAATTGTGTGACGTGAACGGATAATGAATGCAAAGGTTACTCTCTCGCCCGGAAGAATATTTGATCTTTGTTTTGTCAATTTTTTGAAGCCACATAGAGCTGTCTTGTACACCTTTCATTTCTGCAATTTCAGTTCCTTCCACAAAACAAATTTAAAAACTATGAATCGAAAGCAAAAATGTATTTTTCAGATGAGGGTTAATCAGGATGGGTAAATGGTCACAGAATTGTATCGAAAGAGCAGATTAAAATCGCTCGAGTTTACAAGATTCAAATGAGACACTCACCTTTTTTTTTTGCATGCCAAGCTAACCCGTTATCGTCTCCATCTAACAAATTCTTGAGCCAAATTACCTTTGTGTGAAATTTGTCTTTCAATTACCGAGTTTCAAAGACATGAACGATAATCTTTTTATTTACTAAGTGTCTCTGTCCAAAAAATAATAAAATCGATGGGAGTAAACAAATAATAAGGATATCAACCATAAGGTTTCACGATCGAAATTCCCATTTCCAAGTCTTGGCTTGAGATGTTAAGAAAAAATTGGCATACGTATAAAGACATTTGTTTTTGAAAAAATGATCGCTGAAGCTATAAAACATAACAAATTTAATACCAACATCGCAAAAATTTACCAATAAGTTACCTATAGAGGAGTTTCATACAGTCATTACGTATTTGCAGAGTTTTCAGGTCTCATTCGTTAATCCATGTATCTTCAGAATAAGACATGGTGAGCTCACTGTCCAAGACGGAGACCATCGCCGTCTCAGTAGGTCTATGGAGTCTTATTCGTCATTGAAATTAATTATTTCTGCATAGCTATTTGCAATGACCATCGCCTAAACATTATTGAACTTATTAATAAATTCTTCCTATGTCAAATGATCCCTCCATGTCATTCAGAAGATGAATTTGTAACTGTACAAGAATCATTCATCACAGCCAAGCTGACCTATCCTCAAAGACCGCCACCACTAGACACACCATAGAAGTTTTTCGCCAGCTTTTGAAATTGTTCGAGGAAGATAAACGTTAGAACAGTGTGCGGACCAAGACGAAAATAGTATGGTGTGAATCCTTTCCACAACGCGAAAATCCCTTCCTGACGGATCACTCTCACAAAAACGTCCTGAAACACAAGCAAAAGAAAGGAATGAATAGGGTAATTCATGGCGCTTTTTCTTTACTTCAGAGTCTACTTGTGGATAACTAGGAGGACTATAAACTTGGCGGCGATAGAGGGAACTTGGGTCTCTCGGCTAGAGACTGTGAAAGAAAGTTGGAAAAAGAAAAACAATCACGTGTGACGGACTTTGAACACCATAGTGGCAATAGTGCAGGCCATAAATAATCATATTCGAAAAGGGTTCGTCGCACTTTTGAAAACAATTAGCTTTAAAAGATTCTTACCAGGGCTCCACGATATTCAGGCTTTCCATCGATAATCTTCATATTTTGAATCCTACAAAAAAGGTTGGAACGATAAATACTGAACGGCTTAGATGCTATCAACCAACTAAAGTTGAAAGTTTCAATGTTATTCTGCTATCGAGGCCCATTAATTCTTTATTACACAAGTAGGTGGTTGCCATGCGTTGTAATTCTGTTGCAACTCTCAGCTGTACAAGTATATATCTCAATTTATTTAAATGAGAAAAGTTATTACTAACCTAGTTTTGGCGATATCAACAGGCATAGAAGCTAAAGTAGTCGCCAAACCACTTATCATGCTGGCTGCAAAGTGGCACAGCAAATCATCTTTAAAATAAGCTGCAAACACAAACATCAATGTTTTCAATTATTGCACAACTAATATGATCCTTTAATAATCGTGAGGTGCAGCGTGCGAAGTGTAACCTAGAATCCTACATGTGCTCATCTCATGTGGACCCGGACGTTTTTCTTCTACACACCAAATAAACCATCAGACATTTCGTCATGCATCTAAGATCTTTTCATGCATTTAAGATCTTGTTAACGACACTGTAAAGCAAGGAAAACATGGGTCTTAAATTCGTTTGAGCTAAAGACATGACCACAGTAAGGAGACATTAGGATATGAAAGGCTTCTGTAATTCAACAAACCTGTGGAGAGCAAGCCTTGTTTTGCTTGAGAGTATGTCGCCAGCTGCGCTGCATTCACTACAACAGCTCGAAAAACAGTTGGCCCACATCCCTACAAAAGAGTTCAAAATAAAGTAAAGCACCGAGACGCCTAGAGACCTGTCTGCCTAATATCTTCAAAAGAGCCTTGTTCACCAAAGAGTTTTCAACATTTTATAGCCCTGTGCTCAGTTGGATCAGTGGATACATAAACGGCTTGCCGGCGTTAATGAATCTTAAACTATTTTTATCGAATCATTCTTACCCTCCAAAGAGTCAGAATTCCTTCCTCCTTAGTTATTCTGTACAAGGCATTGAACACACTTGTATATTTGCGCTGTTGTTCTACAGGAAGCCTGTTAAATAAAACAAAGAATTTATGTTCAACACAATTAGTTCAGTTATACCTATTAACGAGCAATTGCTAGGTAGGGTATTTTTAAAAATTATCTATTTTTGTGTATTGCTTATTAATGCTGGATCACAGCAAAACATCTTTGCTCCAAAAAGAAGGAGAGGGGGGGGAAGGCAAACAAATTGTCTTTATTTTTTTGGTTGATTTTTTTTTGAGAGGAGGTGAACGTACATGTACGAGGTTTCAGTGATTTCAAGGGTTCTGTGCTACCTGCCCCCTCCTTGTTTCCAATAGCGCATCTCTAGCGAAGGGCTCGTGCAAGAAACATCACCTTTCATAATTCATTTGAATGAAAGATAATACCAGTAAATATGTCACCTTAGCTTGCAAAAATCTACAAGAAAACGTAACCTTTAGTTTAAAAAGGTAGTTTAACAGCCCTCTGACTCCAATGAGCTAACAGCTTACTGTTTCTCACTACAAAAACATGGTTTCAAGCAGACAGGGAAAGATAAAGGAAAGATTGTCAAGTTGGAGTTGGATAATGTCTTAATACAATTGTAATACTCAGACCTAAGTGCACAATAAAGAGTCCGGTCTTATTGGGTGTGGGATACAACTCTTACTGTTATATGTGAAGTAATAAACATGCCAACTGCTGTGCTACAAGGGAGGAACAGATCTACAGGTATTGCTATCTTGCCCCAAGAAAACTCCACTTACAATACCACTGATTGTATTGTCTGCATCTAGATTTCTTACGACATATTACGTCTATATAAATAATGTTGTAACAAACCTTCCATCTGAAGTCATTCTTATGAGGGATATCTCTGCCGGTGTACCAATAAATGAGCCTACAGCTCCAGCTGTCATTCCTGAATTAAAACAATGATCACCCTTCAATTTCCAAACATTTACTTGTACAAAGAAAAGTGGTTCAAGGTGCTCAAGTTGTTTAGAAATGTTGCATTGTAATAAATACACTCTTTATACAGAGAATGTCTTCTTGAAAGTGAGACTGCATGAGTCTTCCCTACATCAGTAACTGATAATTGTGGTCAACCCTACAACTGCAATTATGCATCAGTAGTGAAAAACAGTTAACTGTTTTCTACTTTTACAACTTCCAATCTCTTGACCAATTTAAGAAACTTGTGCCACTTTTACCCTTGTTGCATATATGTTGTCAAAAACATTTCCACATTTTTACACCTTAAACAGGCTAACAGGGCAGAATCCATCAAATTTGATCAAAACAAAACTGTAGTAGCCTATCACTTGTGCTACTATTGTTAATAACAATTAGGTAGAAACACTAACCTAGAGCACATTTCATGAGAAAAGAAGGTGGAGTTCCATCGGGGCTAAACAAAAAACATAACAATCACAATTGAAGTGATTATAAAGATAAAACATGACAGCTAAAAATCTTATACATAAGTTAATATAAGTGTTTATCTAGATACTATTCCAAACCGTTAACTACATGTAGTTTATTTGCACAATATAAGATGCAAACTTTTTAAAATTAATTTCCTGTTAATAATTAAGCTAGGAAAGCAAACAATTAGGGAGGAGAGTTGAGGGTCCCCATCCTTGGGCCTAAAAATCCACCTAGCAGGTCCATTTGAAGAGGCTCAAAAACAATTTTACAATGTTCACTAACCAATTCACCTCAATGCACTCTCCCCACCCCTCTCTACTTCATGACCAGTGGATTGAGATGCAGTTCTCCTAATTTCATCTGGTCTACCAGCTCCTCAACACAGAGCATGTTTCCATTTATTTGGCTGTTGAGCAAGTTTTTCAGTCATTTCAAATTGGATTTGGTCAATGCAGAAAGATTAGTTTAAGACAGTTTGCACATTGGCTTATGAAGCACGGTCAGTAGTAAATGGTTAATAACCTTAGATGCTTTGTGGCATGAAATTAGAGAGCCAGACTCAGTTCTTTATGGATGATATGTGTTTTTCTATGCGGATCCTATCCACAAACTACTAAATAAGGCAGATTGGGAAATAATTTGAAAAAGGCTTGCAAAGAATATTGTGTCATATACAGAATGCCAAATAAGACTTGTAAGTAAATAATGTGGCTTTCTCTCTCCATCCAGCTCACCCAATACATCTTACCTAAAACATTACCTGATAACAGCTGATAGTTTAAAAAAGGAATTGTCAAGGCATAATAATTAGAAAAGTGTTTTATGTTAAAACTAAAGTCAGAATTTCAGAGAGCCACAATATCTTTTCATCATTTCAAGCTCTTTAAACAAAGATGTTACAATTGAAGTAGAAAATATTTCAATGGCAGGTCAGGCATAGATGTACAATAATCAGTGTAAAATGTAGCATTGTGACAGGCCTTTCATACAGGGGTTTCAAGAAGAGCCAGTGATCTGCAAAATTTGCCATCAGTCTTAAGCAAAATCACTGCCTATTTTCCCTGAAATCATCACCATTAGAGTACAGATCACTCTTCCATTAGCTGATTACTTTGTAGTCTTTACCATCTACATCAAAACTTATTGAAACCCTTGTCAGGGTATATGTAGATCAAGGGACCCTTTACGGTAATATTTCAGATAGTTCTGACCCTGCTCTAAAAATGGTAATTTCTATCACCAACCTCTTAAATTTTTCCATGAGCGAAGTAAACACACCCAGTCGTGTTGTTGTGTAAGTTGCTTGCCTTAACAGACCAGCAGATAATCTGTACAAAGAAATGTTAACTCATTCAAGCCCTGCAAGTCATTATGTCACAGAGAGATAGCTAAGTTATCGAACACAGCAAATACAATAATTACAAAAAAGACCATAAGTGCTCAATTACATGTTTGCATTATTCAACAAACTAACCCATTATAGACACCAAAAACTCCTTCTTGTCTCAGAATGGAGGCAATTGCATGTAGACTACTTTTGTGTGCTTTTGCAGCACCACCAACCCCTAAATGAATAATATTGAGACACATGTAATGTTGAAAAGTCTTCAGGCAATTGAAATATTTATAGACAACAGCTTCCTGTATGTGGGAGTATTTTGCATCAATATTAACCTCACAAAGTCCAACTTTGTAATTGTTCAATGGTGAAATTATCTGTGCATGAAAACCTTGGATAACACTTAACAAAAATCATTGTTCATCCAATTAGCTTGCTAACAGCTACATTAATCCAACATAAACATAAAACTAAAAGGAATTAACATTCAAACAGTCAGTTGTTTTAATCCAGGGTAAACTTAAGTCCTGATGAATAAGAAACGACAGGAAATATCAGATGACATTGCGTGGGATAACATTAAGTGAAATTTAATGTAACTGATTCAGATTGTCATTTAACAGTTATTCCATGTGCATGCGTTAGATATGGCACCCTGTTGGCCACAGCCAATCAATCTTGTATCCAACAAATGCATACGGAATAACTGTTTTATTACATTAAATTATCCACAATGTACAGGAGAAGTGTTTGTTTCCAGCCAAAAGTTAATCCAGCTTAGCAACACCTGAATAAAACATTTTCTAAATAAGGCAATTCTGTATAAGAGCTTTTAAGCAGTGTAGAGTGAACCAATCAGAACAACAGAAATACAATACCTGGAATTTGAAATTTAAAAATAAAAAATAAATGCTCACCACTCATCTGCATCCTGTTTTTGACCAAATCTAGGGGCTGTACAAACACAGTTGCACCCATTCTAGTAAATAATAACAACAATAATAATTATGATAGTTTTGTATATTTGATTTCTGTTTAACTGTTCACTTATTCATTCATTTTGTCTGGTTGATTAAGCAGGTTGTAATTTGGCAGTGATAATCTAATTTGGACCTGCTGCAACACAGACTGACTACCTGGTTACCACAGGCATAATTTCAATCACTAATCTTTAGAAATAGCACATCTGCTTGGGTTCTTTAATCACTCCAGCTAATTAACTGATTGAATTTGAAGATACAAGAAAAAGGGCCTACCCTTTACAGTTCTCATTCAAGAGTCTAGGATGTCCAAATATCTACTGAGGACATGCTAAGACTGCACATTCTCCTTTATTTTAAGATCCTATTTGCTGATGCAGTCATTCTGAGGCTGGAACTCTTAACCTCCCATAGAGCAGTCAAGTGCTCTCCCAATGGAGCAAACCAAGTGGCTGTAGAGACCACTTTTTCTGAGCTTTGTAATATTTTTGTTGGTCCCCAGAAGCAGTAGTTCAAATAAATAACAAAATACCTAATCTGTATCTTTTAAGAGTTCAAACACATCATGACAATTATTGGAAACAGAAAAGCTAGTAGGTTCAACACTTTTCAAGTTGACTTATAGAAGTGAAAACATGACATTTTATCAAAAATAATAAATCTTGAACAGTAAGGGAGATAAGAAATGATCCCCTAAGCTACAATAAGAGCACCTCAGGAGGCAGCAGTTATCCTCTTGAATACAAGTAGTGCTCAATAAGGACGCACTATGGTTGCGTACTGACAGCCTCTACAGTGCACCTAACTGGGGTTACTTAAACACAATCAAAGGATCACATGAAGGAAACACAATGATTACAACTAAATTTGATAAGTCCCATGCTTGATAAAAATCAGTATGTCCAATTCTCAACCCTAGGTTCCCTTCCAAGATGCAGACTGATGAATTTAAGCATTAAGATCAAAAGAATACCCTATGAAACAACAATAGGGTGGCAAAGATTTGAGAAAAATTAGGTGCAAATGAGGCTTAGAGGTTGATTATTTGCAATAGCCAGGTTGCTCAGCATAGAGGTCAGATGTGGTTTTCTCTTACAGTTGCACGTCTGCAATTCCATCAACCTTAGTGCTTTTATTTTCTACTCAACCTCAAGACCACTGAATACCTTGATAAAGTTTATACATGATATCAAAACTATCAATGTCTAGTATATAACTTACTTGTTACCATCTTCAAATCAAATATAAATTGATCTGTATGTCACTGGAAATCATGATTGCCTATCATATCCACTGGGGCTGTGTTTATGGAAACAATAGGTATCACAGGTCTCACTATCAGAGGCAATACCATAATACCATTCCACTTCTTAAAATGAGAAGGCTAATTAAAAGCCTCTTGGGTTTTCTATACATAAGCTGACCTTTTAACTCACAACCAAAACCCAGCAACAAAATTGGAAAAACTAAATGAAAAAATAGCATGAGTTGAGAGTTCTCCCCACTACAAAAGGAACAAGCTCTTATAATCTCCTTCATTGCTGGAGTGCTGCCAGGATGTATACAAGAACACAGACATGCTCCATGGAATTTAATCACAAATTTATAGTCAAAAGTGAGCCCTCTGTCCACTTTCAACAGATGACATCAGTCGAGCCTCTGCACACAGCCTACTGGAATGTTTAACATTTTAGGCTTAAAGTTCAAACATGAATTCCCTACATCCAAATGTTGATTAGGTGGTGGAAGCTTTTTGATCACTATAAATAGAAACAAAATCGGTAGGTGATCTTATACACCAATCAGATAAACTAGTGAAGTGCCTTTTAAATTAATGGAATGTTCTTTGCAGTTATGCAAACTGCACATGGTAAACATTTCAGATTTCAACTAGTGAAACTACAGTAACCACAAAGGTATCTGTGAGCACAATCACTAAAATACCTTGATATTAGTAATTTGCCTGCTACCCAATATCATTGAAGATCAAGAGAGAAAATTTCTTAGGTTGGACTGAGATAAGATTGATCCTGTGTTCTATATCCTTATAACACAAAGATCATCCATGGCTCCCATTATAATTTGACATGACACATAAATTTTCCACAGATACAAAGCCAGATCTTCCACTTCCATATTTAACAATGAAAATTTGCAAATGCTGCAACTTTTGCATATTCCATTCACAACTTTTTTTGGTGTCATAGCACAAGCCATAGTACCATCTATCTACTTCAAATGGAAATTCTCCACATGTGATTTTCTATCTTGTTTGTTTACATATTTCTTATATTGTGTTTATTTATACTTGGACTCAATAGCTCATACATGGACCTAGTAATAGCTTATTTCACTGCAAAGTCTGCTTGAGGGCTATTTTAAAGTTGATTGGAATTAAAGTTGTAATATATCAAGCTGGTCTTTGTTCAGTGAAAATAAATACAGGGCATTTTAGAGAAATCTATTCATGTCGGATTGTTCATATCCAGCGAGCATCAAAATCTAGTATAATTCCATTGATCAAGGAGGGTTCCCAAAAGGGTTCTTCAATCCCATTATCCTGACTAAAATTTTCTTTCAATCCTGTAATCCCAATGGTTTATACCTGCCAATCCTGATCCCAATCATACAATTTTGTCTTAGCCCATTTCCTAAACTTAGAAGGGTATTTCTGGTGGGTGATGATTTTCTTAACCAGCATTGATCCATTGAAGTCCATAGTCACTGTAAAGCGTGAGTTTATCTCTTTTCACCAAAATGACAATATTGTTTAATTTAGAAGTTTTAAAAGTTTTGCATGCATAACAAGTGCTAGTCACAGTATTGACTTCCTTTCATTAAACTTAAATCACAGACAAATGTATAAGTACAGACAGGTCATTATCAAAGAAATGAATAACAATTTCAACTAGTGCATAAAACACAAAAGGTCACAGCAATCCCATAGTTCCATAACAACGGAGATAAAGAAATTCTGCTGTTGAACCGGATACTTCTTCCAAAGTGGGAACCTCTTCCGAGGTAAAAATCAGCCTCTCTTTCCAAGGATGGAGTGGCAAACTTCGCATCTGATATAATTTTCATTCCTGCACAATAACTGAAAAATGTCACTAAACAGCCCAACCGGCTCTTGAATGCTAGAGAACCTGTATGCCTGGTGCTTTTCGTGACTGAGAAGATAAATTTCTTCATAAATTTTTGTCAACAGACATCCCAGTTCTTGGTTCATTTAAGCGATTATTTCCCAAATCCCACTCCTCAAAATCGCCGATTCCCATGTCTCATTCATAATAGCAATCCCACATCTCGCTCCCTTCTTAGTTTAAATTCCCGGATCCCGCCTTTAAATGAGCCCGATCCCGGATCCCGAAAAACCTATTGGAGACCCTCATAAGCAGTGTCCATAATTTGCACGTCAATTTAAGGTCTCACATACATACAGCAAAACGTAGCAGCAAGTTCATAATCCTGTATTGGATAGCTTCTAAACAACACTGAGTCAGCAAGAAACAAAACCTAGCGCAGTGAAGGGTAGCGATGCGCAAATGTAACCACTGAGATTGCTATTAATTTATCCCAAGATTATCACGTGAAACAACTAGCAAATGTCTGACAATTTCGGAATAACATCAAACAGTGGTTGTTGATCTCTTGGTCAGAACCTCAAATTTACACATGCAAGATGCGTTGCATGGTAAACCATGAAAACTTTGATATTGATACCAAACAAAAGAGAGTGCCACGTACATTTACTAAATATTCATTATGACTGGAGCGCGATTCCAAGTTAGTCGTGATCTTGTGGGTATTCACCTCATTGAAATAACACCAATCAATACTCACCCGGCTGATCCACCCATGATGAATCTGGCATAGTTTGGAATGTACCCTAGCTTTTTTTCACCCATAGTTTCAGTGTTGATCAAAGTATTATTACTCGAATAAGCTCCTCTTAGAGTTACGCTCGTTAACTATTGCTTAGGGCAAGCAAGTACCGCTGACCGTTCATTAACACCGCCGTGAACTAACCAGCGGTTGACATGGCTCGGTTGTGACTTTTTGGCAGCTTTGTGGTTCAAACTGAAAACAATGTAGAATTAACTCTCTTTCGGTTATCTCCACTGAAAGTATACTTGACGTAGGGGAGACTCGCTCTTCCACGTGATTTCTAAAGATAATTGAGGTGCGAGTCAGTTTGGAGACGATTTCCTAAAGAAAACTTTTGTATGTTTAACTCTGGATAACTTTCAGCTATGTTTGGATGGCAAGAGTGGCAGCTTTGAAGTGTGCGGAATTATGCGCTCGCTCACGATGCAAAACCTGTCCTTTCATTCATAATGTAGAGAAAATATCGGGACGCAAGAGATCCATTAAGATCACTGATCACTTTACGTGTACCTCCGCCAATGTCATTTACTACATAACTTGCACTTATTGCAATAAGTTATACATTGGCGAAACAGGACGACGACTAGGTGACCGATTCCGAGAACACCTTCGCTACGTGGAAAGAAATGACAAGGACGCATCCAAACCAGTCGCTAGACACTTTAATCTCCCTAATCGTTCAAAAAACCCTATGGCAGTTTGCGGCCTTTCCTTACATCTAGGCAGTTCGGAAAGCCGCAAAACACTAGAACAAAAACAAATCGAAATCGGCACTCTTAATCCCCACGGTATCAACGAGCGCTTTTCAACTATTTTATTCCTGTTTTCTCGTCACCATACTCCCACCAATAGCGTAGCTCCACTTTTCTGCATATAAACCCACACACAACCCACAATTCCTCCAATCGCTCTGACGAAGGGCTAACGCTCGAAACGTCAGCTTTTTTTTCCCTTTACGGTGGCCGATTTACGTTTTCAACTCAGTTGTTAACACTGAAGGCTAAAGCTAAAGGATACAAGTTCATGGTCCGTACTGGTTTTTCTTTTCTCAAGCTACGAATAGATGAATGTCACAGTTCCATACTGCGGTTGCGTACGTTATTCTCTCGTTCACTCAGTGAACTCTCTGCTTTGATTAACAACTCCGAAACTTCCTGGGTCGAGGAGTTTTGCAATTCGAAAGAACTGCAGACGTTTACCAAACAGAGAGAGAATTATGACAGAAAACTCCGTCACTTGCTCAGTAAGAGGTCTCCTGTTAATTCAGGCTCATCTCTGAAAGATAAATGGGTCATGAACCTTTCCTCCAAGGAATTATCCGCGCTGGAACGGAGTGGTTTAGAGAAGGGTCTAAAGTTTGCTATTGCTCCTCGCAAAATACCGACCGCCGAAATTGTCGCCGCTGTTGAGGAGAGTATCTCTCAACTCGACGACGATCGTAGGCATTTGGTAAGAGCAGAAGTAAGTAGCATACTCAGGCGTGCTAAACCTCCTCCCAAAAACATTCAAAAGGATGTTTTCAATGCGCTTATAACTCTCAAAAAGGATCCGGACAGGCTCGTATTATCTGCTGACAAGGGTAATTGTGTTGTGGTTATGGACAAACAGCAATATCACGACAAAGCTTTGTCTCTGCTCAATGACAAGAGTACGTATGCTGTCTTAAACTCTGATCCTACCAGTAAAACTCAAAGAAAGTTAAATAAAATGTTGCTTGATTTGAAAAAAGCTGGCAGAATTAGTGACTCCACGTACAAAATGTTATACAGTAGTGACGGCTTATGTCCACGTTTTTATGGCTTACCTAAAATTCATAAACCGGGAATTCCTTTGAGACCCATTGTCTCTTTTGTTAATTCTCCGACTTATGCTATTTCTGGTTATCTTGCGAGAATTTTGTCGCCTGTTGTTGGGAATACTGATTACACTGTCAAAAATTCCTGCGAATTTACGGATTTCATAAGAGATAAAACTCTTGACGCTTGTGAAGAATTAGTATCTTTCGACGTTGTTTCGCTCTTCACTAAAATCCCAGTTGATCTTGCCGTTAAGGTTGCGGAGGAAAGACTCAGAGAAGATGCTTCCCTAGGACAAAGAACTTCTTTGCCTGTGGAGGATATTATTCATCTGCTGTCTTTTTGCCTCAAAACCACGCAATTTACATATAACGGCACATACTATCAACAAGTTTTTGGTACAGCTATGGGTTCGCCTGTTTCTGCTGTCATTGCTAACATGGTAATGGAAGACGTGGAACAAAGGGCCTTAGCCACTTCACCGGTTAAACCCTTTTTCTGGAAACGATATGTCGATGATGTTATTTCTGCGGTATCCGGAAATGAAGCGGAGCGCCTCTTGTCGCATTTAAATTCAGTAGAGCCGTCGATCCAATTCACCCTTGAACGTGAAAAGGATAGACATTTGCCCTTTCTTGATTAAGATGTGTCCAGAGGGGTTCAGGGTAATTTAGAGACAAGTGTCTACCGTAAACCCACCCACACCGACAAATACCTCGCTTTCGATTCTCACCATCCTATTTGCCATAAGAAGTCTGTAGCCAAAACTTTACTTAGGAGGGCTGACTGTCTACCATCATCACTTGATTCGAAGGCTGAGGAGAGGAAATATGTTTCCAATGTCCTAAAGGCAAATGGCTATACAAAAACTTTTCTCCGTAACTGCCAAAAACCAGTTACAAATAGTAACGCTCTTGATGAAAGGGAACCAGCGACTGGTTTTGCTGCTATTCCTTAAATACAGGGTGTTACTGAACCCATCAAGAGAATTTTGAATAGCCACAACGTTAAAGTTGCTCAAAAACCTTTACAGACTTTGGGGCATATTTTCGCCAAACCTAAGGATCCTGTCACGAAAGAACAACGAACCGACGCCATTTATTCTATTCCTTGCAATGACTGTGACAACGAATACATCGGACAGACCAAACGCCAGTTTGGTACACGGTTAAAAGAGCACCAAAAAGCGGTTTTTCTTTGCAAAAAGGAAAATTCAGCTTTATCGGAGCATACTTGCCCAACCAACCATACAATTGGGTGGGATAATTCTAAAATTATCACCACTAATCGGCGTTACCACCAGCGCCTTTGTTTGGAGGCTTGGCACATTAACTCCTCCCACGCTCCTTTAAATCGTGACGATGGCGGTCTGCTTCCTGACGCCTATTTACACCTCGTCAGAAAAAAAGGCCGCTAATTAGTGATCATATAAAAGGACCTCTTGTTGCAGCGTTTAGATCACCCCTGATGAAGGCACTAGACAGGAGTGTCGAAACGTTGGGTCTATGAATTGTAACTTCTTCGGTTACATTCATTAAATCTGCAAACCAGTGTAGCTTCAAACTATGTCTGATTGTCCACCTGGTTGCCGTGTGAACTTTAATATACTGAATTACCTATTTTTGCATCGTTTTCCTGTTTTTTTTTCTTTTTCTTTCAGGTCTTTGTTTTGTGGAGTAGGCAAGCGAATCGAAATGTCTCTAGAGAGCCGCAAGTCTTTATTGTCCTTTGGCTGCGAATGCAATCAAAGGACCGCGTTTGCACCCTCATGTAACCGGTCTCTGTATACACAGACCAGGAAGACGACTCGATCTGGAGAAAGATTTCTAAAGCTTGATGAAGGGGCGTAGACAAACTTATTACATCGCAGCCCGGCATGTTGAATATCCGAATTTTGGACGGAAGAACTCAGGTGTTTTAATAATCGGTTTCTTTCCTTTCCTGCAGATACCGCTTTTAGCAAGAAGTCCAAATTTTTTCGGCCTGTTGTTTTTGCTCTTTCTTTTCCCTTTCTGCAAGATACCTCGGGAAACGGCTTGATTGTCCGCCAGTACACATCAATTTCGTTCGCACATATCCCCCCCTTGCCCACCCCCTCTCTTCGATGTAATAATGATCCCGCTCCGCTTCCCCCAACCAACAACTTCTTTCTAGCGGTTGCCTTACAAGTTTATTTGCAGATTGGACAGATTCTTTAGTGCTAGTGAATCAGATTCTTTTTCATCGTAGATGTAAATTTAGATCGAATACACACAACTTTTAGGCAATCCATTTTATTAGTCTCTGCTGTTTTGAACAAACGCGTGGATAAACTCATAAAGTGTTTTCTGGGGTGAATGCTCTCAGCAGTAGGAGTCGTTTTCGAAAACGGGTGCAATGTCACACCCGCTCTTTCCTCCAACGGCCTCTCGATTGTGTACGAAGTAAATCGAATTTATTTAGAGTGATACTTTGCAGGAGCCAATGGACTCCTGTACTTTGTCAATATCTGAGCTTTCTATGAGAACTTTAGAAGAGTATCGAGAAAGAGTGACAGGATTCACGAGAGACGTAATTGCTACGGAAGCCTGGGTGGCTAACGTCGTATGAAGCCAAAGGCCAGGTTAGTCTCGTAACAAGACCACGACCACAATTCCTTATTCGTGGGTTGAGAGCCGATACACCCATAGAATTGAGGTCCCTACAGGACCCTCAGTAAAGTATTTTTACGTGTGCTTCTCGACAATGAAGGATTAACTCCCAGCAGATAAGAGCATAATCCTTCATTATTGTGTAATCACAGAGGTTTTTAAAGACTTTGCCATTTTAGTCTTAAACTGCATGAAAACAAAGAATTTAGAAACTCATGATATATGCTATAGATTGACTAACACGTTTGATTTTCTGGTCACGCAATGAAAATTGTCTCAAATGTACACTGTAATCTCAATTCAACAGCAACGCGCGAAATTATATGCCGACAGTGGCCGACATTATTTTCAATTTATTCAGAGCATGACCTCCTGATACAAACGATAAACAGGAGTTGCGTGGTTCGCAGCACTTGACTTCCTTCTGCTTTCCGTTCTATTTCAGTTTGCATGAACTAATTATATATTCAACGGTTCATTTATCGCAGTCATCAAATCGTTACACGCAACTAAAGTGAAAGTCACGAATTTGGTTTTGTTCATTGCTGTCTCTCAGATGAAAGCTTGTCAAAATAATGATACAGCCAGCATTATTCGATGAAATTTTGAACCCTGCATCGAACTTACGAGAAAGTACTTGAATGTCATGGAAACCGTGACCCCGATAAATATGGGATCAGTAGGCAAACATGACGGCAATCATGCAATGTCACGTCTCAATGAATTTTCTTGATCAAATCTTCGATCACGATCATGTAGGATTTTTCCTACCCAATATCTTGAACAATACAAACAGTAAAATGACATTCCTGGAAAATTTTAAATTCACGAGAAGTCTTCGCTACTTTGAAATGTTTCACGAAGCGGCAATGTTTACGTCCGGGCGGGAATTTCATCACGTCAACCGCAAACGCCCGAATGACGCAAAAAAGTAAACCCACGCAGAACGCGCGCGTAGCACACGCAATGTCACAAACTTGTCGTGGAGTTTGGCCTACAAATGTTGAAGGGGAGGGTTGGGACTAAATTGGCATGAAAACGAAAGGGAAGTGAATAGTGCTTTTGAAATTAAAATGCACAGCAATCGTCTCGACGACATTTATTAAGCCATAACCGACAGTTACTTTAGGCGCTGGAGCGTGCTTTTTCCTCCCTTTGGATTTCCTTGGCTCTGAAAAAGATGTCTTCTTCAAAAAAACAAATAACTGTAATTTTTGTATCATTTCACGAATTTTGGGCAAAATTTAAAATGATCGTAATAAGTGAAGGCTGAGGTAAGTGCAAAAGAGTTCTGAAATTTATCTTTCGATTGCGTGTGGCTCATTCATGCGTTCAGCACTGAAGGAAAATTTAACTGTTTTTAAGCCTTGCTCATCAGTTTGACAAAACCTTGGATTATCAGTTCTTTATGCACTCAAAACCATCAGTCACGAAACAGTTTTTAAGTCATGATATAATCGATCGAAAATAAGCCACGCGATCAAGTAGTAGATGATTCAAAATGAAATTTACAGCAGTTTACTTTACTGTTTTGGTCGTTCTGTTGCACACAGCGAACACATGTTATTCTTATGCTCTATTGAACTTGTGCTAAAATCACCTGTTTCACTTAGAGTCAATGTCCTCCTTGCTATTGAACGATTAAATATTGATTGCCATACAACTTTGACGCTGATAACAGTTGAATGGAATTCGCTTCGGTTTCGAGCTTTAAAATAAAAAGGATATTTAAAGGAAATCTTGCTTTAACTTTCTCATCATTATGTTAAAGAATGAGAAATTTCATTTACTTATCTCGAAAATGAAAAATTCTTTCTTATTGAAGCGGTGAACACGGCAACAGCCATCCCTGTGATAATTCTCGTATCCGGGAGAACGTGTTTTCACGCAAACCGGAAGTCGGTATGAAGCTCGTGTGATACACGTTGTAATAAACCATTCACGCTTGACTGGTTATAACGCATGCGCGAGAGTCTCCATTCACTTGTTCGAGGATATAAATAACATTGAACTGAAAATTTTCTTAGCACAACAAAGGGCATTCATCGGTCGCTTGAAAGGAGTCTCAACAAAAACTCTCATTCATTCTTAAGAAGAACTGGTAAGTTACGAAAGTCGCCTTCAAAGGTTTAGCCAAGACTTAACCACTGTCTTAGTTAAAGCCAACCACATTCTCACCGAGAAATTACGTGAGTCAATTCAGACAAGCACGCACGTATTTCATGCGAGTTTTGATTTCGTTGAATAGAACGTTCTTTTGAAACAAGTCGGAACGCTTTAAATATTTTTGGTCGGAGGAAAGGTTGTAAAATCTTGACTCAAAGAAAGTTTGAATGATAGGTAGAAATTGGGACCTGTAATCACCTCGAGAAAACAACTTGAGAATATTTTCAAGAGTGCGTCAAGCCTCCACGTTGGATCCTTTACATCCCAGTTACACTTCTCTCTTCTACTATCCCTTTCTCGACATGGGATCAAGAATATCGGCCGTGAAAAGGAACGACCACAATGACAATAGACAAGGGGTTTATAAATCGCTCAATGTCTTTCAAGAAGAAGATCGGGCCAGAGACTTGGCGAGACCAGAAAAATTAGACATTTTACTCGATCGTCCACCTCTACCGGAAGAGGCTTTGTTAGAACATGCTTGGAACCCGAACGATCGATCGGTTAACATTTTCGTCAAAGACGACGACCCGTTTACCTTTCACAGACATCCAGTAGCACAGAGTACGGACTGCATACGAGGAAAAAAGGGTTATAGTCGAGGTTTTCACGTCTGGGAGATTCAGTGGTCAACCCGACAACGTGGGACACACGCAGTAGTAGGGGTAGCTACATCAAAAGCCCTTCTTCACTGTACTGGCTATCAATCCTTGGTCGGCAACAACGAGGATAGTTGGGGATGGGACATTGTTAGAAACAAGCTCTACCACAACGAAAAGAACGTTTCGTCAGTAAAGTATCCAGTTTTGTCTGACAATGATCATAGCTTTGTGGTACCTGACAAATTTCGCGTTATATTGGACATGGATGAAGGAACTATGGCTTTTGAAACGAACGATGGACGCTATTTAGGAGTCGCTTTCCGTGGAATGAAAGGGAAAACTGTATACCCTATAGTCTCAGCCGTGTGGGGACATTGTGAAATCACTATGAAATACATCGGTGGACTAGATCGTAAGTAGCACTTTTTCTTTTTGCCAGCGAATTCTCTCTGTGTTAGTAGTCCTTTGTTTCGTGCATGAACGCAGACCCATTGTTTACAGTTCTTTTTTCACTAAACTTGTCATATTGTATGTTTTGCCCGTCAATAGCTGTTGAAACAGATCTTTATTTTTTACTGATTCAGTTCTTCTATTCCTCATCCTTTTGACAGAGGAATTTAAAATTGATCGTAAAAAAATGTATTGCCATGTTTTGGGGTTGAAATATTCATTCCCATGTGATTTTAACTTCCCTTACGTCACATGAGAAAATGACCTCATCGATCTGCGTTACGGTTTTCGAGAAACAAAAAATTTCGCTTTTCCTTAACCTATCGTTTTCCAAATCCATTCGGTCAAATAGTTTCTAAAGAAGCAAGCAGATATCGAAACTGAAAGCCCATGCTTTTCTAGTAGTAGGAATAGTTTCGTTCGTCTCATTGATTCATGTGCCTCTTCTTGATGAGCGGATTCGTTTTGTTTATGTCTTGAATATATATTTGCCATAGTTTTTAGCGGTTTTTATCATTTTTTTTTTCGCTTAAAGTTTATCTCAAAAGCTCAGCAAAATTAAGACAGTATCTTCGCTTCCGATTTTATTGTTTCAATGGGTGAATGGAAATTAATATTTCATTTGGAGCGAAGTCTTCTTATCCGTTGGGACCGTACTTGTCATTTCCGCCTGAGAGAATTTGTCAAGTTTCCACTATAAATGTTTTTTTCCATTTTAACAATATGGAAATAGCCTTTGTATTGTATCGGAGGCTTTGAGAAGTTGTCTCTCTCTGTAAGATTTTTTTATCCCTAAAGCTGGGTGCAAACAAAGGAACAATGAGATCACATCGCAGCTATTTTGGTGCAATGAGCGTGGCGCGTGCCAAACCACCTGTTGCATGTAGAGAACGTTGAAAGCGTTTGCCACAAAACCATTCAAAAGTAGGTCAGCTTTTAGAATTCAAAAATCATATCAAAGAATCGCACATTTTTCTAATAAGGCAGGGTATGAGAACATGAATTACCTTTCCTTACCAACCTTGTCAAAATTTCCTACCACAGGAAACCAAAATTCATTGCCGACAAAAAAGAAATCCTATACTGTTGAAATAATGATGACACTTAAGAATAAATATGAAGGATATTTCACATTTTTTTTGTGATCAAAACTTTTACCCTTATTGTTGTTTCAAACTGAGAAGATTTCGGTCTTAGCAATATAATGATTCTAGAGCAAATTTACCTCTGAGTCAAGTCGATCAAATCTATCAGTTTATATCCAGGTATTTACAATGAAAAAAAGAAATTATTGTAAAACTCAACACAGTAAGGAATAGTTGGTAAGGCTGCCTGGTTACTAAGTGACTCACTCATGCTTTGGACCAGGACACCTGTTGCTATGTTTATGAGACAGTTCTTTTCTTAAGAACCTTTTTTCATGTTGAGCAGTATGCTGTCTGAAGGTTCTTTACTTTATAAAGTGCTGACTAATGTAGTTTTTTATAGAGGTATAAAATTTCCAGGCCAGAAAAAAATGACAACAGCAAAATGAATAGACTGATTTCGATAATCATGGAAAAATAGAAATATCTGTCAATAACTGAAAGTTGATAACTTGTGCAGTTGAGCTGAGGCAATTGGCTTTAGTATAGAATTTGCATGACTGTGTTTGCAATATTGGTAAATGTATATACTTGGAGAAAATTTTTTTCCAACCTTGCTCATGATCCTTTTTTTCTTTTTTTTCTTGTAGCTGAACCTCAACCTCTGATGGATCTCTGCAGACGTACAATACGCAAATCCATTGGAAAAGAGCACCTAACAAAAGGAAATGTAGACAAGCTTCCCATTCCAGTTCCAATGAAGAAATACCTATTGTACCAGCAAGGCTGGTGACAATCAGCTTCATGGAATTTAAAAAAAGCATAAATTGTGGCTGTCCTTTTCAGTGTTAAATGGTGCATCTTGAACCATTCCTCAAGAACCTAATCAAACTTGTTAAGATAACAAATTCTTCCGAGCTAGTTTTCATCCTTTTTCATGTGAAAGAAAAGCCATAAAATCATTCTTTAGATTAGGGTTGATTATATTTGATAAGGTTTTTTCCCCTAGGTGATTTTCCAGGGTAATTTAATTATTTTCACAAGACTATACAATTGTTTGGGAATTTTAAAACCAGCAAAGGCAACTATTGTTTGTGCAGTAGGTGTGTTTTATTCCAAGTGTAGGATGATCTTTTATGATACAGAAAGTGAAATAGAAATATGTTTTCAAATCAAAGACTATACCTACTCATGCATAAAAGATAAAACAGTCTTAATTTTTTAGACTTTCTTTTTTAAAAAAAGAATCTTCAAAGGTTGAAATATTCGGCACAGAGTTTCTTAATTACTGTTATGAGAAAACTCATTGCCACCAGTTAAAGATGCTCCTTTTTTCAAAGAAATAACTTTTACAGGGATTTGAAACAGCTCATACTAGTGTAAATAGCAGCTAAACTTTTCTTCGAATATAAACTTATTTATTGGTGAGGCCATCCCTCGCATATCACAGAATTTTAATTACATTTGCACTATTATGTATAACACCCTTAAAGACATCTAAAGAGTCAAATTTAGTTGCAAAAATTTAATTTATTTATGGAGAATTATACTTCACTACCCAAATTGTAGGGAGTGACTAAAGAATGTAAAAATACAAGAAAGAAGTGACCTAAATATTTATTTGCACTAATTTTGCTTAGGTTTAACTAAGCACCACTACAAATTGAATTTAAAGGATAATTTTGCCATCATTATTATTGACAGGAATTTGACTCTTTAGGTTGGTCTGTTTAACTTATAATTAACAGTTTTAGTTGATATAAACAGTGGTTAATTGATTTTGATATTTTTATCTTTTATCTTTAGTTTGTCTGACTCCCTGAGAGCAATAAAGTTCATATTAATAAATTATTGTAAATTTTGTCTCCTTGAATTCAGATGGACTTTGTTTGCTACCTGAAATATTGAAGTTCTTTATCAAGATATGCTCTTATCACAGCAGTAACTTATTGTTCTGTTTCTAGCAAGGCTTCACCTCTTTTAGTTGCTAATTAAATTGAGTGATTTCATTTATTTATTATGTTTAGATATGGGGAGTTAAATAGTTAGTATATTTATAACAATATTCTATTGGAATATGTCCCACTTATACTTTGCGTTAAATGCAGTGTTACGTTATAAGCAATAAAATTCGACAAATTTTAAAGACATTTTTGTGGTTCCAATTGTTTTTAATCTATTAAAACGGCAGTAAACAACTTTGTTCAAATTTCGAGGTTATAAGGATTGTTTTCCAAGAACAATCTGTGTGTTCGTAATGGAGGTCGGAAACATGCAATTTGGAATATTACCAAATTCAGGTTGACAGGAAGTAGTATCAAACCTTGCGGAAACTCAGAAGGGGTATTAATATCGATTGACAGATCATTACGGAAGAAAAAATTTACAAGCCGTGACACTGACTTAATTCCTGTTATGCTCAGACAGGGGTGAGCTTTGATTGTAGACTATTTTTGGCCTACTTCCTCTGAATTCATATTGACCAAGTAATTAGAAGAATGTAACTACGTAGGGACGAAGAATCTCTACTTAAAGGAAAATTACAATTTGAGCAAAAATCTGGGCATTTTACAGAATATAGACAATTTCCGGGTTGTTGGTACGTGCACAGATCTAGTTACCATCCTTTTAAATGGTATGTTAAAAATAATCCTGTGTTTAATTTCTTCGTAAAGGAAGTGCAAAGAATTAGGCTTTTGTTACAAAATTATTCACAAACAACACAGGGTCATCAGCTGGGTCAACAGGATGTGGTAAGCAATCCGAAAGACCGACGCCTTTATTTAGAGCGTTAAGCCGACATACAAAGCATTCAAGAACAAAAATTACTCTCTTGGGAACCATTTCAGCTATACTGCTTTCCACCTCGTGAAAACTGTCGGAAACTATTAAGCACCATATGAATTTCAAAGAGTGAAATGACAATCATCGGAAAAGGCATCGTTCCAAAACAGTGATACGCAAGACTTTCTCCAAAGACCTCTGAAATACTAAAAAATAATAAAAAAATTTCCCGTCATGGCCCACGCTAATCATCCGAATGATCTTTTATATATGTGCATTGATTTTGGTTGGGCGGTACCACTTAATTACATCGCTGGCAGTGCCCGGGGTAAATATGAAGCGAATCTTGTGTTCTGATTGGCTACCCGAGCCGATCTTGCCCGCTCGGGATTGCCTGCTTTGATCCCACGTAGGTAAATAAATTGCTTGAGAGCGGACTTATAAAGTCCGTAATTTTTTATCGACCACAACATCATCTCGGTCCATAAAAACGCAAACAAAGAAAAAAAAGGAACTCAGCCAATATGCAATATCAGCCATCTTGACCTCAAGTTTGGTCACTTAAGCATTTGTGCAGCTGCAGCTGCTCAAACAGCCTCATTTTCAACCCTTTTTCTCCCCAATTACTTTGGAGGAGGAGGGGAGGCCTGAGAACGAGATTGGTCGATCACTGCCGAAGTGTAGATTGTAAATGATCGTTGGCCGTTCGTGCAATGTTCGCTCTGTTTTCGTTCGTTTGGGAGGCATTACCCAGTAAGATCAGGTGGCATGAGGTCAGGATCTATATTTAACAAAATTGTATATCCTTGATTCACCTTACTTTAAACCGTACATCCAAACTTGGTTAACGGACTCCACGCCCTGATAATTTTGAAAAAAAGCCAAATTTGCTTGCAATGAGCTGTAAACAGGACGCTCGCCCACAATGGAGCAGTTTGCGTCGAACATGGAAGAGTCTTGAAAATGTCAACAAAGTAGTAATGGAAATTCAAGAAAGAAGCAACGCGCGTGGAAACAGAAATTGTAGAAAAAGAGCAAAATCAGAAAGTGAAGATCCGAGTGTCATGAAACAAGGTGAAAAAAGAGATTTAGAGGCCATTTGTCACGCTGTTAAGAAACTCAGTGAGGCGTTCGGACGAGTGGACCGTTACGGTCCTGAGGTGCCATGCATTCGACCAGTGCGCGAACTTTGCGGTAAGATAAGGCCCCAGCTTAACAACGAACACGGCATGTTTAACAGAACATTACAGCGCCTCTGTGACTCCAGTGTATCAGGACATGAGAAAATCACGGACTGCGCCAAAAATCTACAAAATCTTGTCAATTCCATTGCGAGTGACGAAAGTGATTACATTGCTAGAATAGAGGACATCACGCAATGTCTTGGAGAGCTGATAGGAACACTAGAGACTGTCTTATACTTGGAATACCGGGAAATATAACCGGATAATTCTACTTATCTCAGACTTTGATAAAACAGTCAGTACAGCGTCTATTTGTCCCCACAATTAAAACTGATTAATTGTAAATTCGTAGGTCAGTTGTGGGTCAATAACTTAGATGAAAACTGCAGGGCCGGTTTACTATCGTTTCAGTTAATTTTTGATTTTCATTTAAGTGCCTTGTGGAAGTGCCAGCTAAGCTTAGTTTATTCCCAATTAACTGTTAGATGCATAGATGACTATCTTCGGTTGAGATTGTTTGTTTACTGTGCGGTACCACCTGTTCATTCACAGTCACCTGCAGTGACGTATTTGACAACTAGGATGAGTGCCTTCAGTCACTGCAGAAATATTTGACTTCAACAGTACAACTGAAACTACAGCCTACTTTTGATAGAGCAGTAAAGATCAGCGACCTAGACTCTTGTTTTGCGGCAAAATCAATCTGAAAAATTGTGGTTTTTCATAGGCAATTCAAAAATAAAGCTAACTGTATCTTTCTGTCAACCGAAAAGATTTAAAAATCCCTCTACTAACGCATTGTCATGATAGCAAAATTATCATTTACATTTTTCGATTATAGCGTAAATAAACATAGTCACGAAAAAAAGAGCCACTGATCCGTTTTATGGTCCACTGAGCAACTCAGAAAGAAACTTTCCAACCATGGCAACGGTATGAAATTCTCTAAAAACGTTTATCGTTGGTTTTCATGGTAGGAGTCCAATCTGGAAACTAAGAGCAACACCTGTTCTTCTGCTTATGAAAGTAGGCAACTGAATCAGACTTAAACTCCCCGTGCTATTTGTTACTGATCTTTCCTGTTTATTTCGCCATCATCAAGCTTAAAAGATGACGTTCGATCTCCGTCTGAACAGAACAGGCATTGTAAATGAAGACATGATGATTATCTGCTTTCATAAGGCTGTTACCACAACGTTGACTATGATCACAGCCTGAAAGAGATTTCAGGATAAAGATAATTTCGAACAAGCAATTTTCCAATTGTGTTTCGATCGACGGAAAAATCGCTTTGTCACTTTCAGCTTGTTTTGCATTTTACCACAAAGTATTGGTATGTTGTTTATGGTATGTCGGTCGTCATAACAAGAGAACACCTAGAGGCCTCAAAATAACCCCCACCATGACCGCAATAACAACAAATCTGTCTGATGATAGAGTGAAAACGTACAAAACAATTCTCAAGAACGGGCGGATACCATGTAGGCTATCCTGACAATTACAAAAATTTAGAATTAAGACGAAGTTTAAAAATCCTTCTGTTGAACAGTATCGTGAAAAGTCTCCGGTATCTTCTTCCTTATCTCGTCCCTAAAGACCAAAATATGTGAAATCAAATATGACGCTTGGTAATGGATTTTCGTAAGTCTTGAAGTTGTGGTTGATAGTGTACTTTGTGCTAAAGAGATATTTTGATTATCTGGCAAGGCACTCTACAAATATGAGAAGAACTATTTGACACGTCTTGAATTTACTTTTCTGTGAATGCCAGAGGGCTACTCTTTACGGAAGGAGGAAAAATTCTCGTTCACATCCTGCGAATAGGATCACTGAAGTGAACAGAACATATCTCAATGACCTACCAGCAGGTCTAATCCTGTTAGACTCAAGTAGTTAGCTCGTTGAATGGTTGTTTATTGAATCAAAGCCGGATCAGGTTAGGCTTAAATTGAGCCTTAATGTGCGGGTTCTCGTGAATGTTCTAGCGCTCTCAGCATATCGCTATCGTTATTATATCCCGTTCAACTCTTTCCAAAACATGAGGCACTGATGTAAGTTATTCCACGTATATCAATTAGATGAGATTCCATTTTTTTTTGTCTTGTTTAAAGTATGCTGACCTTTTATTTCTTTTTTGTTTACCATGACACTTAGCAACCTTAGATAACAAAGGGCTGAACGATATTCTACGAAAATAATCGCCCATTTTTTTCAAAGGTTGTCAAGAGATTATGGAATAAACAACAATCTTAAAAAAAAAAAGACTGGGGAAAGATTATGTTCGCACTTCCGAACTCATCATCGCTGGTAACTTATTCCCACATTGAAATACTTATGTTCATACAACCCAGTCTTTCTGTATTTAGTGCCAGACTCCTTAAAGACTTATCCCTCGCTCGCTTCACTCGTCTGCTCGAATCTCGCGCGCTTCTGCGCAGCACCAATGCTCACAGGCTAACAATAGCCAATCATGACAGAACTTTCATCCTTATTATTTTTCACGGCAATATTACGGCTCCATTAAAAACGTAATGCAATTATAATGAGTTAAGAGACATCAGGCTCCCTAACTTTTTTCCCATAGGTGCTTTAAAATCGCCAATCACGGTCAGAGTTATTATTTCACTAACTTATTAGTGCACGTTAGAGTACTTTTGAGAGGGAATTGTTTACCGTGTTGAGTATTCTACTTCCAGTAGGCTGAGCTGGGTCCTTACACGACAAACAATGATATAGACCAACTTCAATGTACAATTTTTAGAATAGGATGCGTTTTCATAGATTTAGAGCTAACGACTTTATCTTTCGGACATTGCTTCTCTGTTAATAGTAATCCTAACGACAGAATGCTTTATTTGCCAAACGTTCCCTTAAGATTCATAAAATTGAGGTATCATTTCCTTCTACAATTGTCGTTTTCTGAATCAAGCCTTTGTCAGCCTCGAAATTTAAAAAAATTGAGTACCATTCTACCACTCTGAGATTAGAAATAAAGACGGCGTGGTTCCACCCTGTTGTTGCGTGTTTGAGTCGTCCAGAGTTATGACAGTTTCTGTTGTGTTGTGTGATAATCCCTTTAAGCCCCCTGGCGTCTTACAGAGCTCACAGTATAAGGTACGTGAAGTGACTCAATTTACTCTTGCCACCTTTTCGTATCTCTATTCAAAATGCTGAGATGAAAAATCACAATTTTCGTGGTACAGCATAAGTCGAGGTACTTTCAAATACGAGTTTAGCGCAATGAACTGATGTCTCTCAGCTTTATTTGCTCCTAAGACCTCGTCATAAGTTCTGTAAACATTTGCGTGTAGATTAAGGAACTGTTTGCTTTTCAGGTGAGGAAAATTTTCGAGTGACCTTATCGTCCAAGGCGTGGTTGTCTCTTTAGCTCTGTTAACGCCCAGGAGAAGTCAGTTTTTTGTGGCAAATCAAGTGCGTGAGATATTTATCACAACTCGGCTGATTAAGCGGAAACGGTGGGCCTTAAATTGTCAAACTCCTCGCGATTGCGGCTGCACCTCATATACCTGATCTGTAGCAAGAGGTAGTTCATTAGGCGGTTGATCGATATTTTAAGAGTTCGTGTGGAATCCTTCCAAGGCTGGTTGTTTCCATGAATTTTTAAACACTGAGTTGATATAACAACTTCTTGTGCTGATTATGTCGTTAGTAAAGGTATCATCACAGTCAGCGGACAAGAAGCGTAATCGTGGAGGTAAGTCAGAGAGATATATTAACTGCTTTCTTAACTTTGGTTGTGTCCGTGTTAACAATGTAATTTGTCTAAGAAAACACCAGGAAAGGAATTTGAGAGAAATGTCAAAATTTAAAGTTCTTTAAGTTTCGTGTTTATTCACCCTCTCATAACATAATGTCTCGATTCAAATATACCATGGCATTGTATTTTCTTCGTCATTGGGCAGACCAAACTCAGATAGGTTTGAATAAAAATGGTTTTAATTCGAGCGAAACAAATAGGAATTGTCACTGAGTTAATATTACAACCTGCTCTTATGCCTTGTCATTACTTTCAATTCATAGAGTAAGGTTTGGGGAACATCACCCGCATCGGGCGGGAAAATGAATACTTTTCTATAAACTGTATCTGCATTTCTCGGTAATATTCCTATCTCTTGGTTTTCAATCAAGTTTTTTACTATAAGTTATGACAAATTCTTTTTGTACAAAAAGCAAAAGAAAATTTCCGCTGGTGGGTAAAATTTTGCGTCCGTCTAAGTTCCTAGTTCATAAGCGTCTACCAGTGGCGAAGGGCAAAAGACTCTCAAAGTTCAGAGCATTATTGCAGCGTTATCACCATCTTTAAAATCATTGTTGATAAATTGAACGGTGAGAGAAATCCCGCCCTAAACCTCATTTCCCTAACCCACCAAATTAAAAGAATATATGATGTAAGGTGTTTGTTATCAGGCGGTTGACAATAAGATAAACTCCACCCACGTTAACCCGCTATTTACAAACAAGTGGTAAGGGGAGCAATTTGTCACAAAATTTGCGGCTTCTTAAGAATTCCCACACGAGTAAAGTAAAGTACAGCAAGGAACTCGTCTTAACTGAGGTAGAAAGGTATTTATATTTCCACAGCAAGGTAACAAGGATACAAATCCAACAGGTATTCTTATTGCCTCATTATGTCAATAATTTTAGTACCGCCTGCTGCAAGTTCGTTTTCGCTCGTAATCACTCTTCTAAACAAACTACAGTTTAATACATTTTCCAGCCGTTTCTTTGTTTCTTTCATATTAATCCTACATAATTTTTAATATCAATTACAGCGTTGTTTACACCTTAGTTTTATACTGAAGTTCTACTCACTGAGTCTGCCCTTGATAGACACACGTGATTAGTTGTAACACCTGTTACACGCTTGCACGATTTCACAAGCGACGCGTGATAGCGGGACAGCTGTTGAACACCTTCCTCACCGGGGACTTTTATTTCTTACAAATGACCAAAACCAGCATTATTGGTTTCTCTTTGTTGGTATTTATTTAGTTTAGAAATGGATCGCCTATCCATCAGTAGCTTGTAAACTTGTATATTCTCTTTTTCCAATTCAGTTTCCGTCTTTTAGTGTTTAGAAACATTTTCTTTTACCATTTTTTTTATAACTATAAGCTGAACTTAGTTATGATTTCTTCCCTTAAACAGTTTACCTCGTCCTGGACGCATTTATTCGCGAAAATATGCTCCGGAGGTTGTTCAGCTTTCGCAAATCAAAGCAGGAAGACGATGACAACGCCGAATCTCAGAAAGAAAATGTTGACCCAAACTCTCAGCTTCAGGTCAGTTTACACATTTACATATTGTAAACTACGCAATCCTGGAAGACACTCATGTTCATCTCTTGCTTCAGGAACTTGAAGCCGCTCAACCAGTCATGAAAGCAAACCAGCCGATGTCGTGTATTTTGAAATCTACGTCAGACGTAAAAGCGATTAGAGAATCATATGAGGGCAATTACATTGAACCAAATGTCCCTGACTCAGTCGGTAAACTTGACGACAGAGCCGAGGAGAGAACTTTGGAAAAGAAGCATGAAATATCCGAATTGTGTTTAGTGTTGGAATCTTCGACGCTTTCTGATACAGAGAGGTATGGCCACGTCAGTTCTTTTACACATGATAGGTGCTGTGTTAAGCTTTCACCAAGCAACATGATTGGTTCAAATGCAAAAGGAAAAGCGAGATCAAAAGCAAATTAACAGGTGTATTTCAGCGGTCTGTAGTTTTCCACCCTTTCTTGTTTTATTTGATACTATTCTAATTGAATTTCAAAGAAAATAGCTGAAAGACTCTACAGCAAAAGCCTGTTCATTTTAAAACTAACCTGCTCTGCTCGTGGTAAGTATGCTTATGTTTCATTTTATTTCATGTGTCGTAGCGAGACGAAAGACAGTGAGTGTATCAAGGATGAACTCTCTGTTTTAGACGAATCTGAACGGTGTGACAGTTCAACATCTACAGAGGACAAAGAAGAGAGCGGCATCGAGCAAGACTTCGAACCAGCCATTGCGAACCAGACTTTAAGAACAAATACTGAGCAGTCAACTACAGAACTAAAACCAAATTCCGTCAGTCTGGATAAGATTGCCAATAGTTACCGGATGACTTTAAATCCCATAAACCTTAAGTCGCATCTGACACGAAACGATCGAATCAAAACATCATTGACTCGAAATTCTCAACGAGTGCCAGACGAGATGAAGCAAAAGAAGAACAGCTGTAACAGTTACCCTGAGAAATTTCCTTCTATTGTACCCTCCAAAGGGTTTCAAAGACAGTTTTTTCCTCAAAGAGTTCAGCATTCCAGGGCACTCTCCGTTAAACCAACTCCACGACAGGCCCGTCGAAATAAGGTCCCGGAATTGTTTGGGGACATAATCATAAAGGATCAACGCAGCGCCACGTCTAAGTATCAGTCTCCTATAAGGAAAGGTATTTTAAAATATCCCGGTAACTCTAAATCTTCGGCTGCAGGAGTAAGGTGCGCCGCAGCGATGCCGAAGAAAAACAAAGCTATGTCACAGAAAGGTATGTCTGCAATTCCTTGTGAAAAGCTTTAATAAAGCTTTCATGTTAGATAAGAACTCTAATTTTGAGGTGGGAGATACATCTGTGACTTCTTTAGCCAAAGACAATATACAAAATATACTCTGATTGCAAAATGGCGAACCAAGAAGTAAGGATGCGGTGAATAAAGTAGTTTCGTCAAACCTCCTTCCTCACTTAGCCATGCTCTGAGGAACATTACCATAATAAGAAGATAATTCAGCTATGTAAACAAAAGGTTCGTCTTTACAAGACTTTATCTTACTCTTTAAGTCAATGGCTGATCCATTGAAACAATTAAATGACTTTTCTTACGAACTGGTATAATGAAAACCTGTATAAGTATAATTAATAGGATTGTATACCGATTTAAGGGCTGTACCCTCCTTTGACTAATTTGTTACTGTGATCTTCATCCCTCTGACCACCCTGCAAGTTTCTTTTACAGTTATTCAAGCTTGATGGAGTCCGTTTGTTTGTAATCTTAAAATGTTCGTGCAGTAAACCTTGGTGGTAATGTATGTGTTCACGTGTTTACTTTTGTCCTGTTGAATGCGTCCAATTGTCTGCACGTACTCTGTACTTTGTTGTCCTAGTTACCGATGTAGATGAGAAATACACTTTCTCAGACATTGTAGTCGTTTTAATTTCTTTAAAAAAAATTTTGACAATAAATATGTTTCATCTTGCCATTATATCAGATAAAAAGATGTCACTGTCGTCAGATAGTGGGCTCAGCGACAACGAAGGTTCCAGCGGTGATGAACAAAAGCGCATACCTGTCAAGAAAATCTTCAGTAACCAACAGGCTCTGCGGAAGAGAATAGATGATTTAAATGGGATGTTGAAGACAATGGAGCAACAGAGGTCTGAACTGCAGTCCGTATTGCAGATAGTCAATGACTGGACCGAGGATTTACGCGCGGTTAACAGAACCAATTTAGGTGTCCCATACATACGGGCTATCAAGCAGTTGCTGGGTGAGTTTTCTACTTTCTTCCTCCCTTCCCTCCCTTCCCTCCCTTTCCTCCCTACATCTACCCTTCTCCACTGTTAACAGGGGCCTCCATTAGTGAAGCAATTTGTTGTGAAACCGATGAAAATTTCTCTAGTATGAAGTTCTGTGAGAACAAATGGGAAACAACAACCAAAATGTGTAAGAAATTGGAAAGAATTACATGTTACACAGATCCTTGAGTTTCCCATTGGCTGTCGTTTTGGCTTGCGTGACGTCATATGGTTGGCACTGTTATCACCAAGAAACAGCTCTTTTCTTTGCCAAAGTCCCAGGGGATCGTACAGATATCTGTAGCATCCGTATAGCGTCACAATCGCCGCCAGTGGCGGCCCTCACTAAATTCCAGTTTCAAAATGGCATATATGTGTGATTCTTTCCTATAACATGTATTTCATTTCCTTTTATGCAAACAAAATTTGATTTTAAAGTTTATTTTTGATGAATCAATTTTAATTTCCCCCAGCAGTGAAGCTTTCTTGTAATAAAGTGGCGGTATCCATCAATCGGGTGTACTGAATTTCTATGCTATTGTCTTTCAACAGCCAAACAGCACATTGCCTTGAGCAGTAGGAAAAGTGACTTTAATAAACGAATTGACAAGCTGAAGGACGCTGAAGTTCCCTTCACAGAAGAGCTGGGTACTTTGATTCAGCAGCTACGTCAAGAAGTCACGTGCGTTGTTAGAGATCAGCGAAAATACAGTGCAAGAAGCATTGAGAATATTCGTCAGCTCCAAGGAAGAATTATTGGAACCTGTTCGGCAATTCTAGCTGTCTATTATGAAGAATGACCAGTAAAACTATTTTCTGTAACAAAATGTGGTACGCACGGATCCCCTATAACACGAACATTTTGTAGATTTTTTTACCAGTACAGCGAGATATATAGCAATGATTGAGCCTATCTGGCCGGATTTTTTAGACATTTCCATTTCTTATTTTGCGCAGTAGTTTATAGTAACTGATCAGTTTTCAAGGCAATTTTTTAGTCCACCCACATGTCCGTAATTTCTTCAACAATTTTGCAGGGAATTTAATTTTGGTTCAATAAAGATTACAAAATCAAAATTAGAATCTCTTCTTCATGAGCTGGAACTACGATTTCGAGTTCGAGGCTGTTATGCGAACCCCTGAGTAGTTTTCTCGTAATTTTGACAAAACATCCAAACCCTCAAATGTTTTTATGAGCCTATATAACACGTAAAAGTCCTCTTTTATTTCTAAATATGGATTCCCCCCCCTCCCCTGCGGAAAAAAAAACCACGAGAATCTCTATTGAACAAATTTGATTACATACTCTCATCAAAGTATATCTCTCAACCGATGAGAGATGTGCATCTAAGTTAGATCATTGATTGCTTTGCTATGGAGCAAATTTCAACACAGGCACGTCATTCCGTGTTTCTAACCAAATCTTTATGATACTGCAAGTCAATCGACTTCTTCTAACGTATTAGAGACTGCAAAATTACATTTGTACAGATAAAAGAAGTATGTTCATTCGTTAAAAGAACAAACGAACAAGAAGAGAACCAAAAAACACTTTCAAATACCATAAACTAACTTCGTAGACAAGCGAATTTATTTGTTCATGAAATTCCTGACATGCACAAGTAAGGATTATTTAGGCGTAACCATTTTCCTGTCCTTTATAGCAAGTTTACATTGACCCTCATTTTACCTTCGGTTTGTCTTCCCTTTGGTTTCTATTCTCTTCCTTTGTTCACCTTGCTATCATTTCGTGGCCATTTCTTCCTTTCTTTCGTTGATCCCTGATTAGTATGAGAATTTCTTAGTTCCTTTTATTTGCTCATCAAGAATGTATAATCTGACAATTTCACCATTTGCACAGGTTTTGTTTCTCATTGCAATCAAGAGAACATCAGCGGACAAATATTCAACCCGTCCCGTTTCTACCCATATAAGGTAATCCGGATTCCGGAATCCAGGAAATTTTTGCTTGTGGAATCCGGAATACTGGGCATTGGAATCCAGAATCCCGCTAGAGAATGAATCCAGAATCCATTTGCTGAAGATCATTTTCAAATCGTCCTAACGGCTTTCATGCGCATCCATGCAACCACGATCATGCTAAAACGTAGACTGCAGACCGTGCAGACCATATAGAGTACGCTTTGTTCGCTGCAGAATTTTGACCGCTACAGCCCGCGTGACAACGACAAATTCAGTCATGACCTATCACCCAGTCGACTTCGATAATGAAATGGCCAAAGTTCCTTACTAGCTATTAATCAGTCTTCTAATCCGATTCAAAAATCTTATTCCTGGTAAAGTTCAATTTTAGCTTGCAGTACTTTCTTTACCGTAAAGTTCTTTGGGCTGTCTTGTGAAGATCCTGTTAATCATTTACTTCGTTCACACAGCACATTCCGTACCTCTAAATCAGCGTCACTGTCCACAAAAATAACATCTGCAATACATCTTGCCGTGTGGGGCTAATCTCCATGAGCTTGAGAAACTTGAGCCTGTGATTTTGCTTTGCTAGGTAACGAGAGTTCGATATAAACTCGTAAAATTTCGTCATGTGGTGTCCAAAACTTGGAAAAACGTTACCAAAAGAGCAAGAAAGTGGTGTAGACACTGCACAGCCTGCAGGGTCTGCGCGGTCTGCACAGTCTGCATGGTCTGCAGTATGCGTTTTATCATGACCAATGTAACCGCTGTGGAGTGCAGTTGACTCACGTGGTCAATGGGTAGGCAAATTTGAAGAGACAAAAGAAAGTGTTTACGTGACAAAAGCAATCAAATTCCCCAGGGTATGCTTGGAACACCAACGTGGCAACGGACCACACGTTTCCAGTTACGACAAACTTTGAACAAAGATATATATATATAGATACCTATGGGAGCCGGGAGAATTTTCGCTATTTAAACGTAAACCGCTTTCTTTGATATTTGGCATTCAAAATAACAAATTTGAATATTTAATAAAACATCTCATCTCAGTGCGAATAAAATAACATATTACCAGATTTTAGGGTCAAACTTAAAAAAAAAAAAAAAAAAAAGCGACGGGCCACCTTAAACCTTTATAGAATCATTTTTCTGGAGAATTCATAGCCGAAGTAATGTAACTTGACTTGGTTAACCTTTTAAAGAAAAATGTATAGAAAAGAGGACCTGTTATTCTTGGAAAATTTCTGTGTAAATGCAGATCTTTTGCGATTTTGCAAAGGTTTAAGTATAGTTGAGTTGGTTGAACACCGTTTTATAATGTCGAACATCATTTCTAATTACATGTAGAAAAACAAGCTTTTTTTGGTCATAGTCTGGGATTTATTTGCGACATACACGGGGTAGTACAAAACGTGTATTTCAGTTTAAATTTTTCCTCAGTTTGGTTTTTGTTTAAAAGGAAAGTTAAAAAGTAATTTGAGAGGGAATCCGGAATCTAACACCTGGAATCCGGAATCCACAGCGTGGAATCCAGAATCCAATACTGTCCAGGATTACCTCACATAGGGTGACCCGTTCCAACTACGCTCAAACACTGCCCTTCCCTGGCCTGGCCTGGCTCACTGTTATTTTTCGTTGACGGAGCACTACTGGGTTTGATATAAGTGTCGCCGTAGCAACGTGAGAACGCAAATGCTGTCGGCCATGTTAAATACCGACAGAAAGGACCGAATGTTTACGATCGTTCGAAATCCATTACAGTTCCAATAAGAAATAATAGCGAGGTTATGATGAGATAACTCTACCGTCAATGAAAGCGTGTCTTCGTTCTCGAGATGGAAGCTGTATTCATCAGCTTCGACAACCGCTTACTACCATCGGTTGTGAAGGCAGTGATGTTATTATCCAGGTGAGAGCACTCACCACAAGAGTTAGACGTGCTTTTTTATAACCCACGAATTACTTGAAAAAAAATTCCGAGAAAAAGGCTCTGGAGAGGAAGAGGATATTCACGTTTTTGCTGTAAACTTTTGTTCCATATGTTTTCAAACTAAGAATTTGAACTAGAGTTAATGTATTAGAATTATTTAAACTTGATACGATTAGCGGCATTGTGAAACAAATTTAAACGATACCTAATCACTCCCTACTCTGTCGATCCCTATTCCGAGATAATTTTTACAATAGGGTTATATATTTAGAATTTGTATAACTTTCTCTGAGTCAATGGATTCTGTATTGTCTCAACTGCACATTTATTCTTCTTTTGAATCATTTTAACGTGCGCGTCTCAGAAACAGTACCTTGTTTCTGTCAATAAAATAGTAAACACTTCAATTTAGAAGTATTTTTAACAGTATTCTCACGTTCATGGAAAACATTAATTGATTTATGTAAAAGGGATGCTTACATCCGGCTCCTTCTGTGTCAGTTGATCGACATTTAACAAAAAAAACAAGGCACTAACTAGTGCTTAGAGGAGCAAAATCTGCTGTTGCCGTGACTGTCCCTTAATTTCTCTTCTTAGTTCCAGAGACATTTTTTATCCATTTTAACTTATTTAGTCACCCAAATATTATCAGTAGCTGAATATTGGGACTAGCAATAGCTGTCTTATTCGTGATCAGCTGTTTTGTACATACCATGGTTATCTTGCATTGTGATGTATTTGACCCTGACTGTTTTGTTTCCAAGCAGTGTTCCAATGTGGAGCGTCAGCATGCTGTTATTGAATATGATGAGACAGAAGGTTGTTTTGTAGTACAAGATCTTAACTCTGCGCATGGAACTTATGTCAATGAGTGTCGTGTACAAAATGCAGCTGTTAGACTTGCTTCTGGAGATATCATTAGATTTGGATATGGTATCCTTTTAAACTAGCAGTAATTTGTAATATAAGGAAAACTCAGTACCAGAATTTCCACAGCTCTAATAGATGATTCATTATTTTTCCAAATGGTCCCCCATTTAGTGACATTATTTTTTAGCACAAGGGAGTCTGATGTTTGTAAAGCATAAATTAAGGCTTGATGAGCTTTTTTTCTGTACCCCTCTCCACACACACAAATTTTACTTAAGTCACTATTTTTGCAGTGTAGATCACTTGTCTTTTTTTCCTATTTGCCACTCTATAAGATTACTTGCATGTGTTTGAGACTCAGCATATATATATATAGGACTAATTTTGTTTTAGCTGTTATGTGAAGCTGGCAAGTGTGAAGATAAGCACAGTTATTGCCTTTGTTTCAGTAGATTTGTAAATTTTTTTACTTTTACAGTTACATTTCTTAACATGTGTGAAAATTTTGATAGAAAACACAGGATTTGAATTTCTTGTTGACTCCTCTGGTCCAGTACACTACCCAACTTTGGCAGTATCAAAACCATGGGAATCATACAGGCTTCGTGTGTTACCATCTCCTGTGGCATCAATTCAATCCGGGGTGGTAACCTCACTTCCTTACATCAGCACCAGCACTACCTCTAGCAGTGAAGGGATGCAGTTGTTTTCAAGCTCTCAAGCTGTAAGTTTACCACCTGGCACTGGGAGCTCAATAACAGAGTTAAGGGGAACTTCTGATACCAAGGTAACAACCTTTAGATATCTTATAAGGTAATAGGTACACGCTGGATTTTTTCTGTTTTTGGGTGATTTTTCCGATGAGGCTACATTGGATGATATTATGCCTTTCTTTCATCTTGTCAACTTGGCAGTACCTGCAAAGCCTCTTATTTTATTTTTCCAGGGCAAAAATATACATGAATGTGTAGTCAACAACTCTAATTGCTATGAATTGAATACAATCTATTATTTAATTTTATTAACTTAATCATTCACTTATTTAATTGCATTTTTTGCTTTGTAATTTATTGTACTTACAACTACTTTTTATGGCATTCTTTTGAAGTATTACTATTTCTAGCACTTTACAAGCAAAGATCTTCCTCAGGAGATGCCTTATGAATAGACCAGTGTTTTGTTATTAATATAAGTATTATTATTATTATTATTATTATTATAATTTTAATTTCATAAAAAAGGCTGTGGTTATTCATCATGGTGAATAAAAATAAAAGCTAAGTTTTTAGTTCGTCTCACGTGACTACATCGTGAGACAAACGAAAAACTAAGCTTTTATCATTTTAATTATCACTATTATAACAATCAAGATTAAAACAAGAACTGAGAATCTTTGTGCCACAAATTGTATTTTAACATGGACTGAAAGGTTTGTTTGCCAAATCAAGTCATCGGGTAGTGAGCTTATGCCTCTAAGCCCAGGTCATTTAGTTGAAACACTTTACAACTACATTGTCTATTACCCAGAGGATATACTGGGTTACATATAGAAAACATGCTAACTGAAAGTGAGCTGCTGAATGGTGGTTTGGTGAAAAATTATCGGACAAACTGTTTGAAATGTCAAAAAATGTCATGTATCCAAATAAGATAATTTCAATCAGTAAAATTAAGAATGAAGTATTTTAATACTTGGCAGGCTAATGTCATGCCCCACCCACCCCTGAGGTCACGACCCACTAGTGCTGGTGCAACAAAGGCACGTCCAAGCTCTGCTGGAAGGGAAAGAACTGCTGCCCCCCCTGTCACAAGAGGTGAGGAAGTGGAGAGAATGTGGCTAAAACAAATAAATAGGCCTGACTTTGTTCCTTTTAATCAACTGTGTTTAAGCAAAATGAGAGAAAACATGTTCAAATAAGACTTAACAATATGATCCTTGCTGGTGGAGTGCAATTTGAGCAACTGCAGGGAAAAAAAAACTTAAAAAATTAAGGCTTAAATGTCTGAGCCTGTATTTGTTGAAGCCTTTTTCTGCAATTGCCTTAATTGCAGCTTTCATGTACAAGTACTTGCCAGGATCATTTCTTTCCTTGAGTTTCATTTGTTATTCAAATTTAATATTTTGCATAAAAATTGTGATCATTTAAGAAATAAAAAGAATTTGCTTTTACGTGTGGCAACAAACTACTGACTGATGGATGATCACCATACAATTTAATCATAACAGTGGAGTGTACAAGTAGTGTTCTTCTGTGTTTACTTTTTAGGTGGCTGGGTGAATGGTGTAATGCAGACAGCAGGGGAAAACTCTGTCCAAGAATTGGTATGTTTCTGCCCTTGATTGTTCATACAACTTTTGTTTCATGGACATAACTTAGTTTACTATAACTGAAATAACATTGTCTGGTGAATTGGCAAAGGAAGAAAACTAACTAATATAACACGTTCTGGCGAATTGGAAAAGGAAAAAAGCTGAATATGTCTTCAGACATAACTGAGTCCAAGTAACTGAGTCCAAGGCATCATACATGAAAATATTTTTTCTTTCTATTTTTGATATTCATGTAAATTAGTTGTTACATTATGTAACAATTTTGTCAATTTAATCAGGAGGAACGTCTGTTACGTATGGGTGATGAACTCAGCCGACTGGCTTCATATGAAGCAGAATGTCATCGAAAGGATGGAGTTATTGCTGCTCTTAGAGATGAGGTTGTTGATCTTAAGGGAGCTCTGCAATCCAGTGGTGGTTTAAGGTATGTTAAAAAGATGACACATCTAAATAACCCAGCAATGGATTTTAACTTCAAAGTAGAATTTCATTTGTTTTTCTTGTGTCCCTAACTATGGATCACAAGTTTGATACCTTGGGCACCTTTTTGATGCTTTATGGTTTAACACCTTGTCTACTGACTAATGTTGAGAAGCTTAAATGAATTGTGCCTTTTTAACAGACAAAACTACCATAACCTTGCCAGAAAGTGTAGAAGTCACAAGCAATGTGCTTTCATTCACAGTTAATATTTATGATATCCTATTAAGGAAATTGAAAACAATTCATTTTTGACCCTCAGAGCTGGAGGTGAGGACTCTGCATTTTCAAACTCAAGTATTATTTTACAACTGCGAGAGCAAGTGTCACAGTTACAAGGAATTCTACAAGAGAAAGAAGAAGGTGAAAAGACAGCAGCACAGAAGTTAGCCATGTACCAAAACCAACTTCATGCCAAGAACAATGAAGTAGCCTCACTGAAGGACCAACTACAAATGCAGGTTTGTGAAGGAACCCATTATTTCTGCAAGGTACATGTGTAAAAACGTGTCAACTAGTCACACCCCATTTACAAGGTGACAGACCTCCCCACCCCACCCCACCCCACCCCACCCCACCCATCCGTCACATCGACTCAGAGCTCTTGCCGCGTATAACGAGTTTATCACTTTTCCTGGTTGGAATGCTTGTCAATTGCAGGAAACTAGCCATGACAGCTTTGCGATACCATTTATATTTACATTAGGGGGAGAGAGGTAGATTTATAGTCATGATGACCTTGGCTAAAGCTCGAAATAAGTAGTATCTAGAGATTGAATGAAAAACATGAATGGAAAAAATACTTAAATGATTGATAAGTGGTCAACAAACTGTTCTTGAACAAGCCTTTACAATATTACCTTGTAGACAAAAGCTACAGGCTGGGTGAAAACAGATCCGAACGCCACCACGAACAAGATTGCCTCTTTACGCACAGAAATAGCTGAGAAAGAGCGTAGGATTGCCCAGCTAACCAACGACAATGAAAAACTGAACAAACAGAAAATGCAGTCCACCACTTTACTGAATGGTTTACAAAGAGAGAACTCAGCAAAGGATGCACTGGTTCACCAGGCTAAGAATGAGATTGAAAAACTCAAAAAAGAACTCCGTGAAAAAGATTCAACAATTTCTACGATGTCTGCGAAGGTGAGTAGACTTTACATGTTTTTACGACGGATACTACTTCATTATGAGTACAGAACAAACTTGTTTATCTGCTTCTGAAGTAAAAAAGGGATAACGGGAAGAAAGGTGAATTGTAGGGGGCTCTGGGGGCACGGGTTATTTCCTTATATTGACTAAAAAACTCTCACTCTGTGAGGAGTAGCTTGTGTGTTAAAATAGTCCCCTTGCTTGAGTAGTTTCTGCATCATACATTTTAAGTGTGCATCCTTTTATTTTCTCTCTACTATTGTCAATAGACAAGGTACTTAACAGTCGGAAATTATAATGACTGGAAATATATGAAAATCATATATGTGCACTGCGGTGAACAAACAGATATAGGCGATTCTCGCAGCTATGAACACTACTGAACTAGTAGTTGAAATAAGACCTGAAAAAAATTCAGGCCCTTACGGGATTTGAACCCTTGACCTCTGGAAATATATGAAAATCATATATGTGCACTGCGGTGAAGAATCCAATGTTGGATCCAACATAATGACCAGCTCCTAGTTGGCTTGTTAGCTTAGTTGGTAAAGCACTGCACCGGTATCGCGGAGGTCATGGGTTCAAATACCGTACGAGCCTGAATTTTTTTCAGGTCTTATTTCAACTACTAGTTCAGTAGTGTTCATAGCTGCGAGGATTGCCTATATCTGTTTCTTCACCGCAGTGCACATATATGATTTTTATATATTTCCAGTCATTATTCACCACTTGGAAGGTTTATTTGGATCCAACATAATGACTAGCTACCAGTTGGCTTGTTAGCTCAATTGGTAGAGCGCTGCACCGGTATCGCAGAGGTCATGGGTTCAAATCCCGTACGGGCCTAAATTTTTTTCCGGTCTTATTTCAACTATTAGTTCAGTAGTGTTCATAGCTGCGAGGATCGCCTACATCTTTCGGAAATTACTTGTGTGAACGCGAAATCATACGCAGGAAGGCAGACGTACATTGTTATGGATTTCCTGTTTTCATGGCATCGATTGGCTTGCTGTTGCTGTGATATGTTTAACCAGCACGATCCATGTATCTCTAAGCAATTCTACTGAAAATTTCTCATATTTTTCAGCTGGCGCGACAGAAGGCTGCTAAGGATGTGGAAAAGGAGGCGCAGAAACTACAGCAGGAGCTTCATGCTAATAAAGCGGTAAGAATCCAGTACAAACCAAGGACCAAGTTTGGCCGATCGATTACTTCTAACAGCTTTTTGCCATCCCCAATCCATAGAAGAAACGCCGAGAATTTTGCAATTTCTTTTTCCCATTTTTACTTTTTTTTTCTTGTTTATTTCCCCTTTCTTTTGAGTTATCTCTGACTTGCTCTCAAATGTTACGTGAGAACAGAATAGAAAATGGTGTTGAACTTCTAGTAAAATCTGCCGGTTGTTTACAATATGTAATGGATTGTTCTTTGTACTTTTGTGTTAATATTCTGTTTTTGTAAGAACAGACTGTGGCAAGTGATCATTTAGGAATGTCAACATACTCAAATAGTTTTGTTTCCCTTAGTTTCTTGTTATGCAGTACCGCCCTTATTTTGGTTTCTGTTGATGAAGAATATCAATGGCGATTCGTTCCACTTACGCTAATCAAACATTGTTTTAGTGAATGGTCGTTGCCACGCCGGTTTTGGACACTCAGTAACCGGGTTCGCTCTAAAATGACATCTTGACAAGTTTTGTTCATACCCATTAAGTCCAAGGTCTCTGTCAAAATTAAATACTTGAAAAGTATGTAAAATTAAATACTTGAAAAGTATGTAAATTGCTTTCTACATTTGTCCCCAACATTTTATCATTCGTATGTATGAGGGGGCTTTAAGTGAAGCTTGCTTCTCCTGAAAGAGCTCTTCGGAATACCTCGAGTAGGCTAAGAGCTTAGGTAGACCATAAAGAACATTTATTTCAAAAGTACAATCGCATTTCTGCCTCTCGAGTCTGCTGTCCGCCAGCATTTATTAGTGCTGGTTATTTCAGTGTACAACTTTAGCATCAGGTAGACTTGAATTTTTTCGCCGAAATTCCGACTCTGAACTACCAACGTCAACAGACACCAAAGAACATTGGTGAATGATTTTTAACTAATAACGGTTTTCTATCCTGCTCTCAGTTTGACAACTTGCAACCATGACGTGCATGGATCTTTGAAATTATTCATCGGAAGTTGGATACTATATAAAGCTTGTCAAGCTGAAGCTGTGCTGGAAAAGTAGAATTTTCGTGAAAAGTTGCAATTGCACGATGATTGATTTTCTTTAAATGTTCACTTCTTTTCTTAGCAAGGTTTCCCAGATGGTTTCCTAACAGTTTCTTGACTTGTGTTAGTTGAAGTGTTTTGTACACTCTTATTATTTATTCCTTATAGAAACTTCAAAGTACGGAGAAGCAGTTAAAGGAGAGGATAAAAACCATCGCTGATTTGGAGCACGAATTAGAGAAAATGAGAGATCACCTTAGCAATGGGCAACAGGTATGCTGCTATGGAAACCATGGAACTAGGGAACCATATTTGTTAACACAGCATGTTACACAGCCGGTAGAGTGCTCTTGTTGAAGTTATATCAGAACAATATCCTTAGTATAATTAACTGGTCTGCTCTCGTTAGCTGTCTGCTTGACAGTGTGTGTCGACATTGAAGGAGAATGAATCAAATTAATTCACCAGGGAGTGAAAGGGTTAAATAGAGATGCAATTAATTAAAGACAATTAATTAATTTAAAAAAAAGCAGATATCAGCATATCCTTTAATAAATCAAAGGATAAAATGCAGTACATAAAATTCAAACAGGGTCATCACACTTCATTTCAGAGGTTGTAGTTGTACCCTCATGGCTCTATTTCTTTCTTTCTTTCTCTTCTTCTTAAGAGTGATAAAGCAATTCAACAAGAGCTGGATCACGCCAAAGCACAGTGTCTTGACGCACAGAGAGCTGAAAAACTGCTCAAGGTTGACTTTCATCAGTTGGAGAAAAGAGTAAGTTGCTAACGTTGATCAAAACCTTAATTCAGTTTCATATATCTAAAATCATCATTCACTTGGATGTTTATTTGGACCCAATTCATTGACCAGCTCCCAGTTGGCTCAGTTGTTAGCTCAATTGGTAGAGCGCTGCACCGGTATCGCAGAGGTCATGGGTTCAAATCCCGTACGGGCCTGAATTTTTTTCAGGTCCTATTTACAACTACTCGTTTCAGTAGTGTTCCTAGTTGCGAGGATCTCTTAATTTCATCTCTCCACCGCAGTGCAAATATATGAATTTCATATATCTAAAATCATCAAACCTTAATTCCTTGCACCAATTTTCATGTAAGATTGAACATGAAAGTTTGGAGAGTTTACAAACACATCAATAGACTCTACTCTTTGTTCTTGAAACACAATTATTGCAATGTTTGAAATGCTATTTGGTGTACTTGCAACTTGAAAGATAAATATTTCTTGGGTTTTCTATTAGCGTGTTTTAATACTATTCTTACTGAACATCTTGACTCAATACTATTGCCATGTTTCCTCTCGTAGTTTGATCGTTTCCGGCGGAAATTGATAGAGTATACATTTAGCGGTGGGATTCCGAGAACAGTTGATCATGAACTGGACGATGATGAACTACTTGATCACGTTAGACAATTGACTCAAGAGAAACTTTCCCTGGTGGAAGAGATAAAGCAGTATGCCAGTTCAGAAAGCGAGGTAAACTGAATCCTATTACTTAAGTCAAAAACCAGACAACTTAAATCAGCAATCAAACTGATGAACCGGAAGAAAAAAAAATGAAAAACTTTCCAACTGCCTCGAGCTGAGGCCAATAAAAATAGTAAAGTCCTGACCGGTTATTTCGTGGCAATCTACCATATAATGTATAATGGACGAAATAATCATTTCTTGATTTAAATGAATTTTTGATAATGGAGACGTTCCTAGTAGAATATTGCTGCTGTAACAATAATGTTTGTTACTCTTGTTACGGTTTCAGTATTTTTTACCATTACTGATAAGTAGAGGATGCCCTTGCTACATGCACCCAGATTAGTAAAGCTTTACGCTTTAAGACTGAAGTTTCAAAACTGTTTTTGTTTTATCCGTAACGAAATACTAAGGCAATTCTCTGTATATGTCAGAAAACCTGCCATACTTAGAGTGCTAAGCTGATCTGTTTATCGCAACAGAGCTTGTCACGGATCATTAGTGCATTTTCAAAGAAATTTGAATCAGTCGTATTACATATATGATGTCTTGTTTTAGAAAGAAGCACAAGATAAGGATTTCAAGGATTCTATCGGAGAAATGCGGAAACATTTAGACGGCATGGCGGTAAGATATTTTGACTTCAGTGTTCATTGACCTCTACGTACCGCGTCAGATATGTTGAATATAGGGGTGGCAACCTGTGAGAAGAAGAGGTTCTGAAATGATTCAGATCACTCCGAACGGGGTGGGGGGTGGGTTGGTAGAGAGAAATGGACTTAAACCTGTAGCTGGGTGGTTTCTAGTGACGTAAGTAATGTTTTGACGATGTTTTGCATTTCTCATCTTTAGAAACGGTTGTGGAAATCCGGTCGATCATGTAATTCTCTGGAAGAAGAGCTTACCTTAGTCGAGGAACTAACAACGCATGAGTCTCTTTCTTGGATTAAGGTGCGATAGGTTATATAACACAACATATCGATTTTACATTTGTTTGAAAGCGTGTTGCCAAAATTGCAACGGAGGGCTCCGAGTTCTCTCAAAGTCTCAATGAAATTCTAACTGTGTTGCTGTTACTGTGGGTAGGATTTTGTTTGTAAAATGCTGTCCGATGAGTGTGCTTGGCAACAGAAGGCGGAAGAAGCTTTGAAGAATGCAGCAGATGATTGTGATTCTGGTGAGTACATTGCACTTTTGCACCAATAATGTTTAGTATTGCTTTGGGGTCCTTGTGCGCCTAAAAACTTAAACCGCTCCGAACCATCGACCAAAGAAAACACAGTTATTTTCACGAATTTCAAACGATGATGTATTGGCCAATTTTTTTGTACTTGTAGAATATTATGAACATTCGTCTTGACAGTATATAGAGTTGATATTTGTTTCGCATGTAATGTGCCTATCATTTGGGTTTCATTTCTTTTCAGAAACCTCTGTTAGCGTAGAAGATATGTGTCGTCAACTGCGAGATCAGAAGGAAGAATGTCGAAAGCTCAAGGGAAAGTAAGGGCGATCTATCCCTTAATTGATGAGGAAAAATAGATATAAAGCTGAGAGAGTGTCTTTAAGTTTAGTGATAGTATCTGAACTATTAACCGGAACATCTTATGTTCGATTCCCGTGTGGAGCACTGAGACTCAGGTTGGTTCATCTAGATATGCCGGTGTCTTCGACAAAAATATTAATCTTTGAACACGTATTGTAAGGGTTAGTCGTGAATGTATGTGAATTAGTTTAATTTTATTTTTGATGTAAAAAGCTTCCACCAATATTGATATTGTATTCCTCATAAAGGGATAAGTTTCTATAGAAACTGTGGTGCTGCGTGGGAGGGAGAGTATAACCGAGTAATTTAGTGTTATCAACTGAGTTGATAACGTAAATTGGCCACCGTAAAGGGTTTAAAAGCTGACGTTTTGAGCGTTAGCCCTACTTCATAACTCGTTCTCATATACTTCATCATGATCTAAAACAAAGAAAGTTAAAATGAAGTTGGTAGTAAGAATTTCAAACTGGGAAAAACCTTGGGCCACAACATATGTACTTTTCCACTCTTGTGATGCTATTTCAGAATTGCTGAAATGGAAGAAACTCACCAAGAAGTGATGATTAAATTACGAGAAGACATGAAGAGAGAGGAAGAAAAACATATATCAAGGGCAGTGGCTGAGGTCAGGTCAGAAGAAGACGAAAAACAACATGAAATGATCCAGGAATACAAACTAAAGGAACGGGAAAGAATACAAGCAGCAGTAGATGCAGAAAGGAGAATCATGGAATCACAGCATGGAAGCGTTACACAGTTACAACAGGTTAGAAAGTTTCCACAGCGAGAGTGTTACTGCACGAAAGTGTGGGAGTTTATGAGCAACATACTGAAAACTGAGGGCGTATTCGTCTGCCTAGTTGGGTGCATTTTATATTTCCGAAAGATGAATTGTAATTTAAGCTAGATAATTGTAATTGTCCTTGCTTTTAGTAATGTCAACAACAACAGTCTTGGCAATTTCTTTCTGTTTACTTCTGAGTTTATGGTGTACGTAGTTTGCTTACAGTGCACACAGTATACTTTCCTGCATGAGGTTAGTAGCACGGCGCCTTTCTTTGTTTAATTGGGCACGGTCTCCTTGCAGCTGCTGAATGATCGTCAGAAAGAGTTGGAAAATCACCGTGTTGCCTTAGCAACAACCAAATCTCAATATGAACAAGCGAAAGATGGATTACAGAGAGCGAAAGAAACAGAGGTGAGTGCCGTCATTCACGACTATGCCATGAAGTTCTCTGATGTGTTCGTACTGAGCACTGAGTGAAATATTTGCCACTTCTCTTCTGTGTAGTATTTCTCAAAAGCAGGTCATGGTAATTTACGGTGTGTCAGTAATCTTAGGTAGAAACATAACTTCAGAATCTCCCACTTCACTTACATAAGACGGACGAAAACAGGAGTAGAGTATTAGAGAGTAGATTAGCCCATGCTCTTTCGGAAACTACTTTTTGGATAATTTTTCTCCTCTCGAGAATAATGAAACGTTGAAGCAAATTGTCGAGAGTTAAACATTCACAGCACACACACGCACTCGAAGTTAAGGTTCTGAAAACTGTTCAAAGGAAATAATGGATTTCACTTGCAGAAATCTATGGAACGTGAAGTCGCCTTCTGTTGCAAATCGCCTTCCTGGCTCCTAAGCACATGCGTGAGCACAAGATTAGGCATCAAGAACCAGTTGAAGAGCATGTGAAAACTCTCTTTGACAAGGATGACTTTTTGATGTGCTTTTCAAATGCCCTTGAAGAGTTAACATGTATATTGAAAAAGTGAAATTTGAAAACCGTTTAGATTTAACTACTCAAAACAATGGCGATTTTTCCACCAGAATCATTTGCGATCCCAGCTTCAAGAGCAAACCGCTGCGTACAAAGAACAGCTGGCTCGTGTTGAACGTGAAAAGGAGGAATTAACAAATTACAAAGAAGAAGAAGTTGCTTCTTTCAAGGTAACTTGGGTAATATAGACTTTCCATCAGTCCCAGAACTGATCTGTGTTTGCGGCATCACAGAAGAGCTTTACAATGCAACGTTATTTGATTTGGGTTTTTCTCATCACTAGTTGGCTTCCGCTTGCAAACTGTCATGTTTTAAATGTCTTTTTATTCCCACGACTTAACTTAAAAAGAGGAGGCCTGTTTAAGTTTGACTCCAACCGAGTGAAATTTACTTTGGCTTGTAGGAGCAAACTCGGCAACACGCTGTCACAATCGTGGCAATGGAAGAAAGATTGTTGCGTCTGACGAGGCAGAATCGACAGCTGGAGCAAGAGGCAATGTATGCCAAACAAATGACTGGTAAGTATTTACCTCTGTCAGTCATGATAAATTACCAACCAAAGCGCTAAAAATAGCGCTGCTAAATTTAGTTGCAAATAATTTTCCGTACTTTTGATGACTCTGTTTTGTTTGTTTTCGTTGGATGCCAGCTAAAAGCATCATCGTAAGTGTTTGTTCAGATTATAGTCAGCATTCCTTGATTAACCATGCGTTGCATTTTCTGATGTAGTCAAGAAAAAAACGTTTTACTGCGCGCTTTTGTCATCCACCTCGTAGTAATTGCGCTAGAAAGCTGTTTAGACACGAAATCTAGATTAGCTCGGGTGATCCTAAATTGAACTCTTCGAAAAGATGAAAATATCAAATTGGTTTCAATTAATGCCAGGGGTGTGTGAAAAGGCTGTACAAGGTAGTTGTTAATCGAGATTTTCATTAAGGTGCCTACTTTTCTTATTGGTGAATGTGTTCAATGATCAGTGTTTTCACCCCGATGATTGTTGTTCCTGCTGCTGTTTTATTTTCATTACTGTCAATGCTGTGTTCACGTTTGCAGTCTTGGTACGTGAAATAGCTAGTGTTTGATGTTGTTTGCATGTCAATATCTTGGATTAAAAACGAACACATTACCGACAGAAACAGTATCGAAATGTCAAAAAAAAAATTCTCAAAGGTTGATTGTGCAACGCACTTTATTTTCTCGAACAGCTTTGTTCCGATCATGAGGACGCTTTAAATGAATTGAGCGAGGAGTGATAGGCAGGGAGGATAGTAGTTTTGTTGCTTTTGTGTTCTGCTCTTTCAGCTGAGAAAAAGTGATTTGAATTTTTTAGAAAAAGAAAAAAACGGACATTCTTAGGATTGGGAGTATAGTGTGTACTTTGTGTTAGGAGTATATAAAAGTCCCACAAGTTGTTCATATAGTCTGTGTGGCTAGTGTGACTAAAACAATTCATGAGTTTGTTTCCCTGTCCTTATTACAGGTAAGAGCCGACCATCTTCTCCACGCAAAGAAGCCTCTCGACCCAGCTCTCCAAAGAAAGAACTAGCTAGTTCCTCCAGACCTCAGTCTCCAAGAAAAGATCCAAAGCCACAGACAAGATCAGTTGAGACGGAGACTGTGCCCCAGACTAGTGTAGAAGCCACACTTCAGTCTGATGTCTATAAATTAGAGCAACTAGTTTTACTTCTTAGGTATCTAGATATCTATACTCTAAAAGTACTAATATGAAGTTTTTGGAGAACTGGGGAAGAAAAACCTTTGGAAGTTTGGGGCTGTCTTAATTTAATAACAGACATCTCTCTTGCTTCAGCTGAATAATGTTCGAGTGTGGAAACAGAAGGAAAACAGCTGAAGTCTTGTTGACTGACAGTTGTTTGTTCTGTGTATTGGAATTCTTTGAAATGCCAACGGAGTATAATGGCCCGAACCATTTATATCCTCTTGATAAAACTCTGCAAACAGAGTGATATTCATTGTAACAGGTTCATCTCCTGCTTCTTAAATGTCTTCCATCCTTTCGTAAAATGATTCAGATATTGTTTTTGGTGAAGGAAAGTAGATAAAATGTTAATCTCAAACATGCGTACGCAACACATTTTGACTGTAATGCTTAGGATGTCGGAGGGCTCAATTATGATTTGTTTGGGGGCTAAATCGTTTTGTAATCATTTTCCAGACGTGAAGCAGCACAAACAAAGAAAGAAGCAGAGAGCCAAGGAGATGTCGTACAGGCTCTGAGGCGGGATCTTGCAGGAGCTGCAGCACGCATGTCAGACATGGCTGGTGAACTAAGTGACAAACAAAAACAAAAACTTGAACAATACGAGGAACGAATTAAAGAGCAGGACAACGAGCTGGAGGAACAGAGAAAACAATTAGTTCAGCTGTCTGCATTAGTGGATGAGCAGCAAAAAGAGATCAATTCAAGAGAGGATAAACTCACTGAACAACAAAAGGTTAGTGAGTGTCCGAGGGTTCGCACCTTTGTCCAGCTTTCGCTGATCCATCGACAGCGTTCAGATTGAAAGGTGGAATATATTATTTCTCTAGTTACCGGCAATCAGCTATCAATTTGAAAGCACTTGTATCAGCTGTATTGGAAATTTTCTAAAACCCGGTGTCTCCAGGTTTCATCCAGTGAATCCATGTAAATTCCGGAAACCAGTAATCGGGAAATTGCGGCTATGAGTAGTTCAATCAGATATTGTACAGTTTTGGTCACTGTTGCTGTGTTTCTCTTGTTCAACTCAGTTATTGTATTCACAGGCGTTATTAAAGCAAAAGCGAGATGCAACCAAGCAAGGAACTGAATTAGTGCAGTACAAGGAAAAACTGGGAACACAGATTGAAGAGCAAGAGAAGAAATTACAAATGATGGAGAAAGAGGTGACAACAAAACTGTCTAACGCTCCCTCTATTTATTGCGTTGCATTTGGTCTTCTTGTGCTGAGTTGCATGGGTTTTTTAATGTGTGTGTGTGAGTGTGTGGTGTCCTTTTTTTTTTCTCTCCCTGCAGAAGTTTACTTTAAAAAAGCTTGCAAACCGATTTATATTAGCCCCGTTTATTTACTCTATGTCTGTCGTCGCAGGCAATGGTTGACCCAACGTCATGGTTTATATTGTTTATGTCAGCAGATTTCAGTGGATTTAACGTGTCACGCAATTTCATCATTAGATACGTGTAGCGAATCTTTGTTGCTTCTAAGCAAATATTTCATTCATTTCAAGATTTCGCTTTGACTTTCACTTTTAGTAGATGAACTCCGCTGAATTTCTTCGAAATCTAAGACGATTTTTACGTGACGACCGAAAAAGCATTTCATACATGAAATTTTATTGTTGTGCGAGTGAGGAAGGAGGATAATGAAGTACAGCTCATCGCCGGTGTTATTTAGACTGATCTTAAGTTTGCGTCCTTTGTCGTAGAATTTCAAGATAAGTGATTTACACGCCCAAGGTCTTCGGTGCCGAGGAGAACGACATGATCTGATTATAACTAGACAAAAGGAGGCTCTAGCGGACCTAAGAGATCGAACAAAAACACTGGAACAACTGAAACCACCTCGTAAGTGGCATGAAACACAAAATCATAATTTGTTACACATAATTAGGCTTTTAGGTGTTGTGAAAATAAACTTTTTCAGAACCGACACAATGACAATCACCTGGATTTGATAAGAACACGTGCTAAGAGATCAATTATAAGCTGATCCGCGGTTGAATACCTTCAAAGCCCTTTAATTGAAAGACTTTTAATCGAGTTTCAGTATGGTCTATTTGACAATTGGTCTGTGGGTCCACGCAGCTATGTAAAGCACGATGAAAGAAAAACATATAAACATTCCTCCCTATGTTGAATACAGATTTTCTAACTAATGTTGTTTCTTCAAAGTTCCAAGCCATGAGCAAGCTTTACAGCAGATTGTAGCTCTCAAGAAGGAAGTCAGTGAACTTAGAGCGAAACTGGCCTCTCAAGAGGAAGATTATCACAAGAGTGAGGGTGAAATGCATGCTGAGGTACGTGCTACAGACGCTTAAATTTGCTGCGATATGCTTCATTTTAAAACCAGAACATAGTATAATTTTTAGTTTCTGTTGGAGTTTTGTTTAGCGAAGTTTAATTTTTTTACTGAGATAGACCCACATTGCAAACCCTCTTTGCTGTTCTGGTTTGGAATAATTTTTCGAGGTAGACAGTGGATTATAAGGCCCTCGTTATAACACAACTAACTTGATGGACATATATAAAGGTTAAGACAAAGTCACTATTACTCCCAGCACACGTCAACGAACAAACTATTTGACATTTGTTAACCATGTTTAGCAGTGTTGAATACACTTCCTTTATCATTATTCATTTTTCATAAACATCTTTCATTTCTCCACAATAGCTGCGTCTTCGTCGTGAGCAAGCTTCAGCCAGCTTGGCTGAGACAGACGGAGAGAAAGGTGCTCATAGACAAACTAAGGAAGCGTTGGATCTCAGCGAGAAAACGGTTAGTTGATTTATTAGCAGGTGAAAGCTTGTTGCTTTACTTATTTTGTACGTAGATGATATAGTAAACTTCCTCAAATGCCTTGACACTTACTTTGCATATGCAACTACCTTTGCTTATTTATTTAGATATTTGTTTTTTTTTTTATATATATATTATTATTATTGTTTTTGTTGCAGTGAATGTGTTTTGAAATTTTGTTGTCATGATGATATACTTCCAAGTTTATTTCGTTATATCTTACTGTTCTTAATGTCGTACTGCTTGTCCTAGTACCTTAAGCTGGCTCGTTCACTCGGAGCCCTTCTGGAGATTGATCCGGTCCCAGGCTGCCGCTCGATGGCTCATCTACCCGTGGAGGAACGAGAGAGATTGGAACTTGATAGGACAAAGGTATTCCAGAAACTGCAATTGAGTCTTTGCTATCTCGCCCCTGGCCTATGTTCTAAGCCTTGCTGTGTTCACGGGAAAGATATCTGTTGTGCGGTCTTATGTGAGCTAGGGCTAGTTATCAACTTCTCTTGAGGTGCTCTGTTAGCTTCTGACGAAACAACTGAGACTGTCTCCTGACTTACGGGCAATTGTTCAAAGACTTATAATTATTCCTAAGTTAATGTTCTGATCTACAGCCAATCCAAATGTATACCAGCCAAGTGGATTAAAGGATAAAAGTTAGGCCCACACGACAGGGCTGATTCATTTTATTTAATCTACCAAAGCCAAATAGAAAGAGGAAGCAAACGATTGTGTCAATTATTAGGCTTTCCCGGGGGTGAAAACACAAAGGTGTTCACACTGAAATACAAGAAAACATAAGAGAGGACGTGACAAGGAGCACGACAGCAGAACTCACAGATTGTATTTTGAGTTTTTACCGATGAGATGAAGTGATTCTTGACTGAAGAACATTTTTTTTTATTAAGTAACCAGACAGTGTTGTGATTTGTGCTTGATTTTGTGCACCGTACGTTACTTTAATTGCAGTACATACTATCTCTCCCCTCCCCCTTTCAATTGGATCGTACGCATTGTCCTATTCTCACAATACAAACCTAATTAATCTTTTGTAATCCGTATAAGATAAAGAGGTTGGATTGGGTAGGAGTAAAAAAGTTGCAGGCAACTTCATTGAGCAACATCTAACGTCATTCCATTTCTCTTTAGGCCGTGGAGTTGATGGTTTCTAAAATCCAACAAATGTACGAACGAATGGAGCGAAAAATCCAGTTGCTAGGGTCATACGAGGACGACCTTGTCCATCTTAGGTGAGATAAATATTCACTTCGAGGTTTTGAACGATAGCCTTTAAAACTTTTCTAAACTCTGAGTTCATCAACAAAGGTGAAACATACCTTTGCGTGTCTCGCTCTCGAGAAAAAAAAATGGCAACAAACTTTTCGCGCGGTAGGAACTCATTTAATTAAATTTCAAACGGGTAATTTCTCACCAACCTCGTTTAATACTATTAATATCCTAAACCGTGAATACCCCAGATAAAGAGTTGGTCAGGTCAAATCATCTATGTTGCGGGATCTGTACATCTCAATGTTGTCTTGTTAACGAAGAGATTTCTGCTTTGTAGGGATAGTGAGACTGTTGCTGGACAGAAGACGGCAGAGGCATCAGGCTTGAAGGTAAAACCTCATTCTAAGTTACGTCCTCCCTTGATTACATACAGTTTGTAGCCCTTGTTAAAAAAAAGGACCACAATGCCTATTTCCATATTAAGATTGCAACAACTGATATGCAGAGAGATAATTCTCTCTGAGGTGGTTAGAGATTTACAAAGTTTAGATTTCGGATTACTACGTTGAGCAGTTGACATGTTGTCACTGCCGTGACCGTTATGGTGTACCCAAACAATCGCAAGTTAGCCATATTTTGGTTCTGTCAGTTGAGCTTTGAACTCTTCTCATTCCTTCCTTCCTCCACCTGCCCCCCTCACCCCCCTCCCCCCCACTCCCCTTCCCCCTCCCCACACTTCCCCTCCCTTCCCTCTCCCCCTCCCCCTTTCCCCCTCCCCCCACTCCCCCCCTCGAAAAATTGAGTTACTGCAATTACTTTTTATTTCAAATTTTGCAGATGGATGTTCGAAATCGCCAAGAAGAAATTTCTTATTTGAGAGCGTCCATGAGCAGACTAAGGGAAGATTTGGATCAACAGCGGAGGCTAAATGTCTGTTTAAAGGAAAGAAAGGTAAGCTTTAGGTCGCAGAATTGACGGAAAAACAACTGAGCAACCCCTCTTTTAACTATGTTTGCCAAAACGGGGCCCAATGGTCAAGTACATTAGTTATGATACAGTAATAATAAACTATGTTGCCAGACCCTATTCACTTCACCACAGTTTGAATGGTTATTGGACAAAAACATAGGACATGTAAACGAAGCTTAACACAATTTAGTTACTGGACCAACTGACATCATGTATTCTCCTTGCTAACAGAAATTTGCGATGGACATGGATGAAAGAGACACAAGGAAGTCGACGCATAGTTGCTATGTAGACGAGCATACGCGTTATAAGGTAACTTGACTTGCGTAGTGCTTGGAAATGACCTTTTATTTGATAAAGTCAGTGAGGTCTTAACTTTAAGAAAGCTCTTTAAATGTTTTAAAATGCATTAAGCAAGGTTATCCGATTCGAAGAACTCAGTATGTAAACTTTAAGCGCCTTTGACTATTTCGCTTTTAACTTTTAGTATGCTGTTTTCCTATTTGTAGGAAGAACTCAAAAAGAAAAAGGCTGCAGAGAAACTGAAAAGGAAAAATTACGAAATAGAATCGTTGAAAAAGGTAATACTGCAGTTTGTCTGTTTTCTACTTTAGTTTTGTTGTTGTCTTTGTTTCTGTACGCCATTTGCAAGAAACTGATTCGGGGCAAGTTCATTCATTTTGTCAAATCCGTGTTTAGAATTATTTTCGCTGTTCCGTTCAAATATACTTGATTATTATATGTAAGGTCAAAGTTAGGAAGCCGCCTTCAATTTCAAATTAGTGCTGATTATGGTGAATTTTCAAGTGCAGAAATTGCTTGATTTGAATGTAATTGTCATAAATGTGAAGTACACCATGTAACACTCCGAACACTGAATACCGAAGGCGAACATCTTTCGTACACACCAAATCACCCTCTGCGAGAATGATTATTAAAGCGTCTAATAAGGACTTCTGTTCCCAGAGAGAAAAAGATTAATACGCCTTTTCGTTTGCGAATGTTGAAGAGCCTCTCTTGTCCTTGCGTCATTATTTTTCTGCTACACTGTATCATTATATTTACTACTGATTTATTACAGGAATTGATGTCCGCTGACCGAGAATTGAACGAGACCGCTGTCAAGTTGCAACTGCTGGAGTCAACTCGGGTAAGTACTGCCGGCTCAGTTGTGCCCCACGGTTCATCTCTGTTCAATTTTTTGTAAAATTGTTCTTACCATGTCACATTGGCGAGAAGTGCGTGTTACAGCTATCTCTGAGAGAAATTAAGATTTTAAGCATATGAGATTACAAGCGAGGAACAAGAAGGAGGAATTCCACCGCTCATTTCCTCGGCTCCTGTGGTTTATTTCCATCTGTATTGCCACCTCATAGAACGGCACAGTGACCCTCATCCAAAGTGATCCAAAGTGACCCTCAAAGTGTGGGACAGGGTTGTAATTGTACGAGAAAACTTAATATTGATGGTTTTATGCTGAGGTGTACGTGGTGGCAACAGGTAAGTGAATGGTTTGGATTAAAGATTAACAAGAGAGACATCATAGAGAGACCCGAGAGAAATGTGGCATTGTCTTAGCAAGGGAACATCTCTTAAACATCATTTGTGTTCTGTTTCAGAATTTGACAAGTGCTCGAAGCGCTCAGAGTGAGGACAGCGCTATTTTGGACTATGATGAATAACGATCACACTAACTCTGATACGACGTCATGTTGTCCTGGTTCCCGTCGTAAAATGCCTCCTCTAGAACGATTGAGGCAATCCTGAATAAATTACTAATTGCAGGAGACACTACGCGGGGTATTGAATGATATAACATCTCGAAATCTAAGCGCAAGACAAGTAGCTCGAGTGGCCAGTTGGTTTTTTTATGGATGGTGCTATCGCCTGCAGGCGTACAAGCCTTACAGAGAATAGAATAATCCTTAGAGACATCACTCGCTAACGCAGGTCTGCCGCTTATCCTAAGCGGTTCCAAGAGCAGAAATACTCAGCCACCCGGGCTATAAGACAAGTTATTGTGTGACACAGTCATTATTAAGATATCTGACCAAGATTCTGCGAACCGGTAGACTTAGGTAAACAAAATTGAATGTTAACATTTTCGAACAAACAAACAACAAACAAGAAGATAAACAAAATTAACCAAGTTTAATTAACTTCACTGTTTCCCTTTCCAATGCGTCACGATCATGACAAAACCCACCTGACTGGAAATTTTTCGAAACTAACTGGGACTTGCGATGTAAATACTTTCTATATTTACCTATAAATTCATTCATGGAATGTCTTTATTAAAAGCCTGTAAATTTTACAATCAAAATGTTTTATTTTTTGTCTTTTTCCAAACAAGGTTAAGGATAAGCTTAGGTTACCTATGTATTATTGTTCTCTTATTTATCTATTTATGTCCAAATGGATTTCCTTAAATTTTTTGGCAGTGTATCCTTGAGTTTTTAAGCATATACAACCAAGAAGTGATTGCTAATAGGAAGCAGGGGCGGCATAAGGTGAAAAGCCTTTCGTTCACGAGTTTGATATGGCCATTGACTTAAGCTTAAGCTTAAGATAACATTCTTCCAAAATAAGATAAGTCATCTGCGCAGCCATTAACAAAATGCTTGAAGTAAGAAACAAATTCCAAAATCTCAAGAATCGCAGATGAAAGAAACGTTCTTTGCGCTTGTAGTGCTTATCTAGCTTATATGTTAAGAATTGAAAAAATTCCTCGTGACTTTTTGTCTTTCTTGTGACATAAAGACAATTTGATACTACTGGAAGAACTCCATCAATGGGAAATCGACGTAGAAGAAAAAAAAAAGTGCTCCATTTGTCTTTAAAAGGAATTTCGCAGCCGAATTCCATGGCTAACCCGCCCAATCGTCGCACTAGATCTGGCCAGTTTGCACCATAGCAACACAAGGGTCTGGATAACTCAACGAGTTCATGCTCGCGCTAATTATATGCGTCATAATACATCGTTACATATCAAGCCCATCCTCTCTTCGCAACAAACGATCGCTCAATAAAGATAAAATTCCACATGAAGTTTAATTTGAGAGTGGAGGCGAGCTACCTTTCCAATGGAGATCCTACCAGATGACATTTGGCTGGAGGTTTTTACGTTTCTCACTCAGAGAGATCTGCTTAGAGTTTCACCCGTTTGTCGAGCGTGGTATCGCTTGTCACGTGATAGTTCGCTTTGGTCGTGTCTTGATCTTGAACCATTCTGTAGATCATTGCAAGGGGAAACAATACTGAGGTTGATTAATACTTTATTTGCACCGAGCGGAAAGCATCTCATTCTCAACAAGAACCTTGTAACTTCCGAGATGTTGCAAAGTTTGTTTGGAAATTGCCGCAGATTAAAAAGTCTCAGTCTCAACGACTGCAGGTTCCATTCCGCTGGACCTTGGTATGAGCTGACGTTTGATCAGGTGGAGACACTAATCTTTTTAGACTTGAGGAACGCCAGCGGATTCGCTGCAGGTGTAGAAGATATCTTAATACAAGCATACAATCTCAAATACTTAGGTAAGCACGTCATCTTTATGCGTTTTGTAATTCACTCTGTCATTAGAGGTTTTTGATCAAATAGGACTCGTGCTCTTGAGACTAAATGAGGAGAGATTACAGAGAAAAATGGTCACAGGAAAAGGGTTGAGAGAACTCCCCGAGAATTACATACTGATCATGACATAAGCATATATGTGTAGTTTTCCATCTTGTCGAGGAAATGACTTGTCAGGGATACATTCGGTTTGAGAAAATTACAGAGGGTTATAAAGTTGACTTGATCAGACTGTATATCTTCATTTGTTATGTTTGAACCTCTTGTAAACGTTTTAGGCATTCGGTTACTCTCACCGGCCAGATCAACAGTGAACGTTAAGCCGGCTAAGTTGCATTACTGTCCCGAAGCACCTAAGGATATGTGGGTGAAGTCACTAGCAAACAGATTGTTATAAGGCCTTACTGTAGCCCACGTAACTGATTTTTTTGCGTAGAAATCTAATTTTCATGTTAGCCACGTAAAACCCGGAAATAAACTTAAAATTCTGTTCAGAGGAAGTAAAACATAAAACAAATAAAGGAAGATACCATTCGTCTTGTCACGAGCTTAGGACAAAGGAAAAAATTTGGTTCCACACGAGGAGGTGAAACACTAGACCCCGGGATTCCGCTCTCTGACTTATGCTATACCCCTGAGCTACAGAATAATCTGTAGCGAACCAGAGCCTTACTATGTTCATCAAATTGTTCCATGACATGGGAAAAAGACATCTTCTTGGTTTCTTCTTGATTTCATTACCGAGTGCAAAATTTACCATCTCTCTTACCTTATCTAATATTCAAAAACACGAGGAAGGGCCCCGCGCAATAGAACTATCGTTAGATTTTCAAGTGAGTTTCCGCTACATGATTGAAAAATCAAAGAAAAATGATTGTGGTTGCATTGCCTAGAGAAAATGATCAAGTTTGCTGGGTGTTTTCTCCTTCTTAGAGAAGGTGCTTCAATTGCAGATCGATGAAATAACATAATATAACGGCAACGTAGCTCATAGTAACAAACAAGTATTCCTGTTAAGATACCGTAATTTCATTATGTCAAATGAGCCTTAAAGAGAAAATCAATTTGTTTTACGTACCGACTTTGTAATGTTTGCTTCATTGCTTCATGCAGGTCTTCACTGTTGTATCAGTCCTCGACTGCTGATCAGAATGTTTATTACAAAGCACAACCTGCGCATGATTGACTGTACACAGTGTGACTGGGTCACAGACGACAGTATTCAAACTATTGCAGAAAACTCTCTATTTTTGGAGGCAATTTGTGTCGCAAAGTGCCGCAATTTACAAGGAAGAACGCTTAACATATTGGTAGAAAAATGTCCGCGTTTGAAAACGCTTATTTTAGAAGGAACACAGATAGTAGATGAGTATGTCAGACTAGTGGACTGGAGTCAAACAAACATTACCGAGTTGAATGTACTTCGTTGTTACCGCTTGTCATTTTCAGGCCTGTCAGAAATACTCCCTAAATTAAAGCGCTTGCGCTACCTCAAGTGCGCGCTGACCGACGAAGTCCTAAAACTCATTGCGAATGGTTATCCATTGTTGGAAGTTTTATTCCTTCATCGGCGCTACCCAGTGACAGTAAAATGCGTCAGTGATTTACTGTTCCATTGTCCAACTTTAACCTGTCTTGATCTTTCATCCATTCCTTTGGCTTTTGTCTACTTTGAGAGCTTTCTTCCCAGCATGCCTCGGCTTCGAATGTTGAGTTTTGCTGGCAATGAGCTTCTGGGCACTGAAAAAATTATTCGTTCGCTGGCTAGAAACTGCCTAGATTTGGAAGTTGTCTGTGTCAACTATTTCCATTCAACTAACAACTTCGAAATTGAGCGTGCTTTTGTGTATCTGTTACAGAGGTGTGAGAAGCTCAAAGAGCTTATCCTAAATGGTTTATTTGTTAGAAATTTGATCTTATCCATCAGAAGTTTGGCATATTATGTGTGCAACAAGGAAGATATATCAATAGTAGAGAATAAGCCCTTCTTTCTTCCCGGGCCCCAAAATTGCCTAAACAATGTTAAAAATAGGAAGCTTTAGTACTTATATAGCATTTATAAACGATAGCCATGCATGTATTGTTGTGCGTGGGAGAAAAATGTAGTTGATTATTTTTGTGGCAATGAATAGTGGTTTCATTGAGTTTCTTCACTCAGAGGGTCGATAAACGGTTTGTAGAGATGCGTGATTGTTCCAGCGATAATCTCAATGGAATCCTTACTTTCCTACATATGTGGCCTTTTCTAGTCTAAGTTTGCAACATAGCTCGAAAGAGACCTATCAATTTAAAACACATGACTGATAAGATAAAAGTAGAGAACACAAAAAGTAATTAGCAAATTAGTATGGTATCTACGTTTTATCAGGACTCAATAAGCGTGGAAATGCAATATGTGTCAACCCTTTCTGTTAGTTGGACTCCGAATCCCAACCAAACGTGGCTGATTAATTCTGTTTTCACCGGCATATCATGACAGACGATCTCAATATGTCACAGAATATATCTGCTGAGTGTGTCTGCACTAAACAACATCATGAAACAGTTCTTCTCATGGCAATATCTAACACACCCACTAATTTACAGGTTCTTTTCATAGATGTTGTTCATGGAAACTGTTTGATGCTTAGGAGAGAGGAGAGTAAATATTTAACGTTTTTGTTCATTCGGCAAACTAACAGTTAGAAAGGTGTTGAGTTTATCCAGGTAAGCGTTCATTCCTATCCGGCAATGTTTTTTACTTTCAAGCTGACTGTCTACCTCTACACTGCCACTCGTTTTAGCAAACGTTGAATATTGTTATTTGAACGAAAATTGGATCTCCTGCACCAATTGGCACGCTGCTTTTATCGAGGAGACAAAAAGTTCAGCCTCTCTCTGAAAAAAAATTTGCTTGCACAACATAAATATCTCCTTTTCCTCAGCAAGTACCTAGTCATCGTTTATAAACTACATGCGAAAGTTTTAATCCACAGTTAAAATCTGCGGGCCTTTTTGTGCGGGGATTGCCATCTTTTGTTAAAATAAACAATATCCAACGCTGTTCATACATGTTGGCAGCACGCAAAACCGTAAGGTGTTCCTGATGACTTTCTTAATTTGATTTTCGTGTTGTGGTAGGACGCAAGAAAACACTCCTAATGAATGAACCCAAGGAAAGCTATAACTTTCAACAAAGCTAAAGATACAGTTATGCACTTCTGGTAAGAATATACCATCTATCTTGGATGAAGAGGTGATTGTAAGTAGACGATATGAGACTTTGACCCGATCACGAAAGCAAAGAAGAGGCCACGAGGAGAAAAAAGTCAAGAGTTCTTGGCCTCTTTGTATTCGAAGAATGATCACATTATTGATTAAAGTAAACGTTGTAGGTCAGTGTCGCTTTAACTCCAAATACGGAGAAAAACGTTGCTAAAAATAACTGCAAATATTAAATTTACAAGTAGTTTAAGTATTGGTTTTGCACCTGTTAAAAATGTTAATATTTATATCTGGTGAAGGTGATCAGTTGTCTGTTAAAGAAGCACTCATGCTTTTCATCTTGCCGTTATAAACACTCAATATGAGATCTTTGTATTCAAAAATGATATTGCTTCCTAGTTTTTGAAGTCAGCTTAGTCGATACTGCTGTTTATGCACAGGGGCATAACCCATTTAAACTAATAAACAGCTCGTCTAAGGTCCTTAACCCAGAAATCTCGAGTTTGTTGTAGTCGGTAAGTTGACCTCTATTTGATTTCGCACATCATTAAATTAAATTTTGTTGGCGTGCAAAATAGCACTTGCACTCGCATGCTTCATGATAAAAACTTACTCTTGTCTTTTTTATATTTGTGTATGGGCTTCAACCACGCAAATTTACTGACCGGATGTTTTGGTGTAGGCCATCACTCGTATTCAGCTACAAATGTATTCCTGGTATGATAATAATACGGTTGATTCCAGTCAGAATACGAGTAACATATAGGATGTTTCACTTTTCTTTTGTCGTCAAATTTGGGAAGGGTCACTATGGAGCTGCTGATGGTAAATGACAGAATAATTAAAAAGATGGAGTGGACACGATGTCTTGATCTGTGTTACAAACAGCCATAAATAGATTAAGAGTGATGTTGGCATTCCCATTTCTGAGAGTATCGGCTGTGCCCTGTTAAGAGCTTCTGTTGCTAAATATATCATTCGAAAATGAAACAAGATTAGAGCAGCAGACGCAAACGAAACATTGGAGCTGGAATAGAGCTGATTGAACTATTGCCTCCAAGGGTAATTTCAAGGTTAGTACCACCGATGGTTAACATAGGCAAGTATTCTTTGAGTAAGATTTTATAAGGGTTCAAGGGATACCGTTTTTTTCTTTTATGGAAGGTTTTTTTGACACAATATTGATTATCTGGAACTTTTAGGATCGCTAAGATTGTCACTTCTCCTTCCATCTTCAAATTCCTAATCCTAGTATGTACGATGGTTCCTGAAAATGTAATTCTGATTTACTTAAACTAAATGAATATTTGAAATACTTTGGAGCGTTAGTTGATGGAGGACTTCCTTTAGCTCATCTGAATTCGAAGAAGGTATAGAATGCACGTGATCTATTGGACACAGAAGTAAGATTGTGAGGCCAGTTGGATGCACGCATTAGACGGGTTCATCAATGATTGTCCTAGGGACAAAGAAAAACTAACAAAAACTAAGAGATGCCAAACAAGAGAATAAGCAACACATGATAATATGTTGGTACCCTATATCTCAGTTCTATTATTGAAAATTTTTCTGATTGCGCGTTGGAACAAAATTTTCTCCTTTTGGAAGGAAACCTTCACGATACGCTCCAAGATAAGGAGATTTCATGGCAATGTTAACCTTAATAAAAAAGAGAGAAAATCAGCGGCAGCAGCAGTCCAATTGGCTGACCTTGCCAAAGGGAACCATTCCAGAAAGTGACAATGCACGGGTGATTATATCTAAGTGTTGAGCTGAGGAATTATCCTTGTGTTGACCCATCTGAAGGAAACACCCGATTTAACTCCCAAAATAATGATGTTTAGCATGAATTACTGAACCTTCTAATATAAAAGCAAATATGAAAGCTACCTAATATTTATCCAAAAATATAACTAGTCTTGGATATTGTTTAATCACAACATAAATTGGAAGTTTGCGACGTCACAGAGGCCTTTTTATGACTAACTAAAGTTGAACGCACTCATTTGGTGTTCTGTCTATAGCCGCCAGCAGTTTCTCTTCACCGCATCAATTAATTTCCCGAAAAACACTGGAAGGTGTTTCGTGAGGGTAAGACGTTTGAATGAAAGAAGGTTTAAAATCGCTCTCAATAGCTTACATAACAGAAAAAAACGTTTTTGACTTTTTTTGCAAATAAAGAGTTGCAGCTTCGTATACATGGTCAAAATGTTGAATTCTTTTTAAGATACGACACAGTGAATCTGAAAATGTTTTAACTCTCTTTGCTTATTGCAGAACCTGGGAGATTGTGCGTTTAGCTATTTACCAGCGAAAACTAAAGAGCCTCCATACATCAAAAGACAAACATAAACCATCGAAATAGAGGAAGTAAAGTGGAAATCAAACAACTTCTGTCAGTTTATGCAAGATTCAAAATCTCACCCAGACCTTCTGTAATACTCAGAGAAAAGTAAAAGATAACGTTATTGTCGGACACATTTGATCTGGATATCGTGTCCCCGTGGCTGTTCGACCGACTGTCTGTGTCGAGTTATTTTGAGATAGACACAGTTCCGAGAGAAGATGTATCCTCCGCTACCCCTGGCTATTAAATCAGTGCTTATTGTGGAGGCTTGTCTTATCGTCGCTTTCAACAGTATAATATGGTTCCTTTTCTTAAAGCGTCGTCACTTGCGAAACAAGTCTAACTATTTTATTGCTTCCTTATCTGCTTCGCACCTCCTCATTGGGCTGTTCGCTGTGCCTTGCTATGTATCATCCAGGAGAAAAACTAGATCTTCACTTACAATGTGCACAGAAGTGTTTTACTATTTCCTTTGTTCCTCTATTCTCAATTTGTACCTGGTTACTTATGAACGTTATTTATCGATAATGAAACCACTCTTCTATCATCGACGCATGGGATCCAGTTTTGTGGTTGGAGTGATCATTACTGCCTGGATTTTTCCAATCATTCCTATTACCATTGACACGTTATTCAGAACAAGAATGAAAATACATCGTTTCTCCGTTGGCTACCTTATTTATCACTGGACACAAACGCTTTTATTTCTGACAATATTTATTGTTCTCGCGGCGGTGAATATAGCCATGTTTCGAGTTGCCAAAAGACAACTGCAGGCAATACAGGCTGTACAATCCATGAACTCCACAATTGTTCGGCGACCAAGCGTTCAGTCTAGCAGACAGGAGAAAAGGACAACGTTTTTCTTTGTTTACATTGTTACAATATTTTTGTTATTCTGGCTTCCCAGGATTGGAGGTGAAGTATATGAGCTAGTCCATCACAAAGTTCTGGATCATACCAATCCTGACGTTATAACTTTATGTATTGCTCTTCTTACACCGATATTTGACCCTCTCATCTATCTGTTTTTCAAAGCCGACTTTAAGAAAGCCATGCGAAAAATGCTTCGCAAGAGTAATCGGCTTCAAGCTCGTGTGTCTCCCTACAGAAATACCCCAGCCGAGAGCTAAATGATTTAGGAGTAGTGGAGACAAACGCATTGTGGTCAGCTTGTGAACTTGACACTCATTAAAAATCCGGCAACAAAGATATTTTTTATTTTCGAAGTATGGGGAAAATATTTCCATTGCATTTCTTTATAATGCAGAGCTCCTTTATTTCCTCTCCGAAGCAGATCTGGGCAGTGGAGAGTTTTCGTGACAGGAAATGGACCTTATCAGCGCAAGGCTAAACGGCATTTGGACCCAACTTATGTCTAAAATGAACCGACTTTTTATCAGTGGTGCAAGTGTCAAGTGTTCAATCCTTGTGAAGCAAATGAACCATGTCTTGTAAAACCTACAAGACTTAAGGCACACTGAACAGAAATTGTTGACTTAGATTACTTCTGTCTTATCTGAGAGTAATTGCGAATCTAATGGGTAAACGTACCAGTTGAATTGATGTATGCCGGCCAAACGTCGTTTAGGAACAGTTTACTAGTCAGAGGACCAATTTTATGGTGATTCTATCCCCAAGAACCAATATCTGGTCATGGAAATAACTCTACTCATCAATCTTAACCGCGAACATCTTTACGGAGCACGGAAATTCACAGAAGTTGGCCACAACCGACAATGCGCTGCTTTAGTTGTACTGAAAGACCTTAAATACCAACAGGCTACAATAAATCTTGCATAATGGATGTCTATTATCGAGAAATTAGATTCAACTGACTTTTAAAGACAGGGATCAACCATCATTTTATACTGATTGTCGTATATTTTGGCAGATATACATGAACTATTGATCCTAACAGGTCGTAAAATGTTCCTGAATATTATTAAAACCAAGTGATAACCAATTGCAGAGTAATATACAATCATTACCTGTCACAATCTGGTTTTCTTTGCAGACGCTGCAACGCGGCGGCTTATAGCAAAAACTTTATTCTTTCTGTGTGAGCAATACTCAGCGTGTAAGACCAGAGGGTATCACTTGCGCGCAACCTTATTTTTTTTCATACTATGTACCCAGTATAAATACTATCAAGACGGCGTGCTGCCTTACGTGTTCGTGACTGCAAAATCATAAATAGATAACAAGTCCTTTAAGTATTGGTTGTTATGTGGCAAGATGAAAGAAAAGTTATTTCACAGAGAAATAGTTCAAATTGACACTGGGAAAAACTGACGAACTGAGCTTTGCTCTGCAGGATGAAAAACCCTTTCACACTATATATCAGTTACGCTTAAATAACCTCTTTCGTCAAGAGTTGGCTGTCTTTCCAACTTGACGGTAAAATATGGAATAAATAAAAAACATATACCAAAGCCACAGCGATTATGTAAGTGGCTATATATTAACGTGTTGGAAAGAACTTTGTCAATTTTACTATCGCGCGGCGAAACGTTTCTCAGGTAGAATTAACATCGATGTGAATGCAATATATGTTATGAGGCATGTATACTGCAGCCAATAGCCTCTCAATCAGAGCAGCACCTCTATAAACTTGGATAGTGTATACGATAGGGAGTCTTTTTTCTTCGAAAGTGGGAGCTCGAACTTTAAAGCTGTTCGTAAGGAGAGAGGTACAGTTGCGTCTAACGTAGTCCTGACGAGTTTTCCTGTCACTCCGTGGTAGGTTACCTCTCTTGTAACGCCTCCATATTTTTTGAAGCAGCTTGTAAGGAACTGGAGCTTTTTCTTCGCGTACTGCATTTGATATCAGTTGCTCACAGTTTCGATCTGAGCTTTAAAAATAAGATACGTGAATAGCATCCTGGGCTGGGTTCAATCAAAGCTAAATCAAGATCAGCAAGGGTTAGTGTGAAATCCGATCTCAGGTATGAAAGCTTTAAAAGAATATTCAGTGTAATTCTTTTTATCTACAATTTGATGCTTGGATACTCTAAAAAGAACAGAGAAAACTATCTGAAAAAAGCTTTTGAAGAAAGTAATAAAGAAACCCAGATTAAATCTTAACCCTGGGTTAGCGCTAATCGGCCTTCGAACTGGGTCCGGGTCAATACTGAAAGTGATACATCATTCTTGACCTTGGATGAAACTTAAACTTTACAGCCGCAAACAGTCTAACAAAACGTGATATAACGCAGTAGACAGTCTTTTGCCACTTACTACTCATGCTATTCTCCTCTTCTCTTACCACATCAGGCATAATGCACAAAACCAGTGTAGGAACACAAAAACAAGGTAAAGTGGCAGCTTATCTGTAGGTAAGGTAAACGCGTTTTAGGGAATCATTCGCAATCAAGTTGTAGAGTAAGAATGTAAATGAATTGTTTTAATTCTTTTGACTCCGACCGGTAGAGGAAGGACTAAAAGGAGGGGATGTACGCCAGCTGACAAAGATGGGCGACGGAAAATGAATTTAAAGTGGTGCCCTTACCATCTTAGACTACTAATGCCTATGAAGGAAAATATATCAACCAGAACATCAAAAGCTCAGTCTAAATGCAGTACAAGCAATTGTGATGCATATCATTTCTGCTGACTCCTCGAGACTGAACGTTAACTGACATATCAAACGAAGACCAATTTATTCAAAATATAAATATAAATATCAGAGATTCGACCATATTCGTAAAACTTCTAAGGTTAAGCTCCTTGTTTATTTATTGCGAACTCTGCTTTTGTATCTAATTCTCACAGAGTTAATGATAATTACAGTGTTTTCTTTTAGCCGAAAAACTGTCTTTCATGCACTCAATAGAGAGTAAGTTTCCAGAGCAAGAAAATGATGCCATGTCACTGAATAATCATCAAACAGCTACTTTTTCCAACCTTGGGAATACACTAATTGTTACATAGACGAGCTTGGGACCTCAGAGCAATCAAAACAGATCTTTGCGGGTTCGAGAAAATAACCTGAAAAGTTTTGCTCCCTTTGTTGCTGTTGTTGATAATTTCAAATGTTAGGTGTTTGTTAACCTCTCCAGGAACGAAAGTAATTTGTTGATCGCTTGCAGCCTTGAAGTGCTCTGACAGAATGGCTGTTAAACTGGTCGTCGTGAAACTAAAAAAAAAAGCAAATAATTATGAAAATGAGTGAGCTTTTTTGTGCCTTACCATATTTTTTCAGACAATTTTCCCTTTGTAGTTTGTCGTCATGCAGACAATAGAACCGTCTAGCTAATGGGTAATACCAATCAGAAGTTTAGTTTCATAAAGAAACCAACGAATCTGAATTGGTTTGGGTTGTTATTGCATGACTCTTGCGACAATTAGAACTACCTTGCATGACTCAAGGTTTGACACCAACGTCAGACTTTACCATTGCAAACTTAGCTTATCTAACAACAGACCAATTTTGAACACTTTCGATCAATTTAATTTCATAGAAAATGTTCAGGTAACTAAAATCCAAATTCTTACCATATACGAGATTTTCGGTAATTTTCTCCACTGGATAGAAAATATTCTTCGCAGTGTCATGACTTTAGTTGGGTGCGGATTACTACTTAGTCACATTTGAAGAAAACAAAGAATGGCTCTGTATTGCTTAAAATTGTTGCATGCCCTGTTTACAAGGAATATGCCAAAGGCCGAACCTTTGTTCTCCGACCAAGTTTAAATTGTTTTGTTTGTCTTTTTTTTTTTTTTTCTCAACGGCGTGTTGATGTTAAAATGTATTCTATTTTCTTTAATGCTTGAAGCACCTTTCACCTTTTCGGAAACTCAAGTTTCCATTCTTTTGAATTTCCTCGTCACTCAGCTTGGTTTCAAGAACTTTGAAATTGCTTGCATAAAGGCCTTTGGTGTTTTGCACTGAGCCAAGTGTTAATCGCGTGTTCCTGTCCTGTGGGTAGACATTGGAGGATATGAGGACGTTGGCCATTGAACCTTTCTGATAGAGCCTAACTGTTCCAAACATTGAATCTATTTGAAAAGTAAAGGCCAAACTATCCAGGCAGCCTTTGCCAGTAGACTTCCCATATTTATGTGGCTTTTACCGTAAGGCACCATCACTTGGACTGATGATCCAACTTCAAGGGACCAATCATACTCATCACTTCTGCCATCTTTCACTCCAGAGTCAAAAATCTTTAAATCATTTAAATCTTTGTGATGGCCACTGGTAGTTTTGAAGAGGAAAGACACAGTTAATTCGTTACACAGAGTTGGATTGCTAATACAGGTACCGTTAAGGTCTCCAAAGTCGATTTTTTACACCTGCAGGCACAAACAACGCGTTGATTCCGTCTTCGAATTCCTTCACAGTTCGGACGCCATCTGGAATATAACTACTTTTAAAGGACTTGTTGGCTGCCTGATCGTAACCGTACAAAGACCTGCGTGCGACAGGGTACATAAGCCAAGTTTAGTTTACTTAAAAAAATTAGAAGAAAAAGACATTTAAATGCGTTAGTTACTTTGTGGTCAATGTGAGACAACTGAAGCGCGCTTGGCCTCATGCCCAAACCGAGTAAACGCATCACTCGGTGTGACAGTCACAGTTGAATGGTCTGATCGTCGATCGAGGTCTATGGTAGCAATTACCGTAATTCTCTTTCAGTCATAACCCTTTTTGTTAAACTGAGCTCTTTTTTTGTCTCTGATATTGTTAGTACTGTCTGATAATTATATTGGCGGTGATAAGACTGACATTGCCGTGTTCACCTTCCGGTTGTGATCTTTGTCGTGATCTAGTTTTTTAATTTACACAAAAACAGTTTATAAACCATTTGAACGTGAGATTGGACTTCAGATAGTGTCCAGGTATTAGGCCTTAGCCACTTTACATTAGCTTAAGTCTACATATAACATAAATGTTTTAACTGTCGTCCATTCAAAAAGCAGCACAATGATACTCGTGTTGACAAAGAAGCTAACACGATCTTTGACTAAAATGAACAGTGCCTACATATGCTCCAAATATTACACAAAACAAGATGATACAAATCTTCATCGCGTCCTTCAGCTTCGTTGATAAATAAAGTTTGAAGATAACCTCGTAATTTAAGACTTCCTCCGGATCGTGTGAGTCTGAACTTAATTAATTAATTAATTAATTAAATTTTCTTTTTTACGGTCAAATGAGGGCAAATGCGAAAGCAGAAGAAGATAAGCTTTGGCGAGAAGGGGGTGCACCCGAGACACACCCTGTTTCGTCCACAGCTCCCATAGAAAGAAAGGTTCTTGTTATTTCTCGAGAGAAAACAGACTTAAAAATCTAACAATTTATAGAAAAAAAAAAGCATGCAACAGTGAACTACAGTACATACTACATCTACATGTTCTAATTTTGTAACTCTTTTTGGAGTTAATTAAGTATTTGCATCTCTTTCCTTCCAAACCTATGATGATTAGCGATTCTCGCTTAGTGTTTTGTTATAACACTCAGGATGACTGCAATCATAAGAGGGCCTAATTAGAGAACTAGCGCCCTTTCCAAGGACGATTCATTCTTTCGTCAAAAGTAACAAATCAAATTGTATCTTAGAAATAAAAGGGGGAGAAGATTCTAGTATTTATAAGAGGTTCTGGGTTAATAAGGGAATGGTGTAAATTTTTACTTGCATTTTTCATACCCTTCCCCTCTCCTTCTCAGCACGCCTTTTGGCCGTTGGCGAGGTGGATAGAATTGTAGTCACACATGCCGGTTATTCTTGCCTTTTCTTCTCTGGGCACCACCCTGTTGGTTTATCCTTTCTTAGTTTTCGCATCAGTTTTAAATCCACGGTCTAAATGAAGATTTGAAGATAGCTCAGCCTTTTCCTTTTCGGAAAATAATTAAGATCTCTAAAAGCGATAGATATGTATAAATTGAACCTGTGCGAATTTATTTGTT